CGGCCGGGGCGGGGTGTGTGGGGTGGGGAGGCGGCTGCGCGGGGTCCCCCAGGGCGCGCACGGGCTGGGCCCGGCCCCCAGCCCCCGGGCGCGATCCGCAGCTCCCGTGCGGCCAGCTCGGGCCGGCGGCGGCTCGGAGGCGGCCTGGCTCGTGCGCCGGGCGCCCCGGGCTTACCTCGGCCTCCTGGCTCCTTTCTTCCTTCCCCGCGGCCGGCCGAGGGCGGACGGTGGTGGCGGGGAGGGAGGGGGCCTGAGCGTGGAGGGGCTGGAGGAGGAGGAGGAGGAGGAGGAGGAGGCTGGCTCGGTGTCCCCGCCTAAGCCTTCCCTCCCGGAAACCCGGCTCGTGTCGGGGCCTGCAAGCGGAGACACCGGCAGGAAGGCCGGAAGCGGGGGGCCCAGGAGCAGGGGCGCTGGGGTGTGCGGGGCAGGGGTCGTGCGGTGCCTCCGGGCTGGCGGAGCGAGGAGCGCCGGGGCTGTCAGGGTCCGATGCGCACTCACCCGCGCGCCTTTCGGTCCCGCGTGCGCCACGCGCTGTGCCAGGCGCGAGGGCGGCGGGCGCGGGCTCCTGGATGAGAACTCGGCCCCAGCCCATCCTCGACTGCCTCCCGGCCTCCTCTGGGCCTCAGTTTACCCTCTGTGTGCACCGGGCCCCGCAGCCTCGGCGACCTATGCTTGCTAAGCACCTACTATGGGCTGGCCCTGTCCTTGGTGCTGGAACAGCCTAGGTGGACAGGAAGGCCCCTGCGGGTCTGGTGGCGAGACACACACACACACACACACACACACACACACACACACACACGCCCTGGGGCTGGAGGCTGCTGCTCCGATCTTTTAAATTTATTTTTATTTGGAAAGGCAGAGTGAGACAGAGAGCTGGCATCCAAGCTTCACTCCCCAAATGGCCCCCAAGACCAGCTGCACCAAACCAGGAGCTGCAAGCTAATTCCACATCTCCCCCAAAGAGTTGGAGTCTCTTTTGTTGCTTCAACAGGGAGCTGGGTCGCTAGTGGAGCAGCCGGGAATCCAACTGGCACACAGACAGGATGCCAGCACCGCAGGCTGCAGTGTACCCCGTACCCACAGCGCTAGCTGTGTGCGGCTCCGGTGTTGAAGGAATGCAGCTGACAGCGGTGGCAGCGGCTAAGCTCTCTCCCTGGGAATGGGCCAATCCCTGAGGTCTTCCTGGAGGCTGCGAGCCACCAGGTGAAGCCAACAGGGCTGTCTCTTTGCCCAAATGAGCAGGGGTGTGTGCGGCCGACGCTGTTTGCCCAAGGTCAGAGTCGTGTCAGGCATTGTTGGCAAGCGCACAGGCAAACAGGTCCTTCTGTACGTGTTTGGCACAAACAGAAGCTGGAGCAGCCTTGAGAGGTAGCCAGTGGAGGAATGTATCCTTCAGAGACGTGGGAGGCGTCAGGGCCAGGCTGACCTTGGGCACCCCACTCCAACCACCTGGTCAGGAGGTGGGCACGCACTCAACAGCGGGGGGGGGGCAGTTGGAGAACCTGCTGCAGTTGGCCCTGTGTGGGGGCAGCTGGGAGAGGAGGCCGTGGCAACGCAGGCCACTGCGACGGCCGAGCGGCTGCCCCTGCGGGTCATTAGGCTGTGCACACTCCTAAAGCGGCTCAATTCGTGGGGACGGAAGGCGTCCACACCACATGGAGTTTGTTCAAGCAAGAGAGGGGACATAATGACCCCGTCAGCCAAGGCGACCCAGGAGCCACGGTCAGTGCTGGGACGCCAGTGGCTGCACTGGGACACCAATGGCTGCAGCCCTCTCCCTGGGAGGTGAGAGCCATCTCTGGTTTATTGCTGACTCCTTCCATACCTGTCTCAAGCTGAAAACAGCATCTGTTTGCGTGTCCTAGGTGGGAGAGACGCAGGTTTGGCCAGGATCTCCCAAACACTCAAGTCTGGTTCTTTCTGTTCCAGACGAGAGGCGGCGACGGCGAAGTGAAGAGACACATGGCTTGACATCACCTTGTATGTATGACAGTCACCTCTTGCAGACAGTATCTACGCCGTCTTTTAAACTATTTTTATCACAGTCCTGTGTGTTTCCAACATAAAATCATGCGAATGTACTATGTGCTAAAAAGAGAGAGGGAACTGGCATGGTGACATGGCAAGTTGATCCTCCACCAATAATGTTGGCTTACCACATGGGCACTGGTTCGTGTCCTGGCTGCTCCACTTCCCTTCCAGCTCCCTGCCTGTGGCCTGGGAAAGCAGTCAGAGGACGGCCCAAAGCCTTGGGACCTGCACCCGCCTGGGAGACCCGGAAGAGGTTCTGGGCTCCTGGCTTCAGATTGGTTCAGCTCCTGCCATTGCGGCCACTTGGGGACTGAATCAACAGATGGAAGATCTTCCTGTCTGTCTCTCCTCCTCTGTATATCTGACTTTGCAATAAAAACAAGTAAATCTTTAAAAAAATAGAAATTATCCGTTATGACGGAGGCAACTTATATTACACCTTTTAATTTTTATTAAAAAAAAAAGATTTATTTTTTCTTTGAAAGGGGGGGCAGGAAGGGTCCTCCGGCTGCTGGTCCAGTCCCCAGATAGCGGCAGAGCTGGCTGGCCTGGAGGCAGGAGCTTCTTCTGGCGCTTCCAGATGGATGCAGAGTCCCAAGCACTTGGACCATCCTCTGCTGCTTTCCCAGGTGACAGGCAGGGAGCTGGGTGGGAAGAGGAGCAGGCGGACACAAACTACCACCTGTACAGGTTGCTGGCATCATAGATTACTGTAATATGACACCAGCCCCAACTCACTAGGCTTTTAGGGTCACTGGGTTGTCACACATGCCAGCAAGCCATGCCCGCGCTGTGAGGAGACCATGTTTTTTTTTTTTAAAGATTTATTATTATTATTATTATTATTATTATTATTATTATTATTATTTTATTGGAAAGGTGGATAGACAGAGAGGAAGATCTTCCGTCCGATGATTCACTCCCCAAGTGAGCGCAACGGCCGATGCTATGCCGATCCGAAGCCAGGAGCCTCTTCCGGGTCTTCCACGCGGGTGCAGGGTCCCAAAGCCTTGGGCCGTCCTCGACTGCTTTCCCGGGCCACAGGCAGGGAGCTGGAAGGGAAGCAGGGGCTGCCGGGATAGAACCAGCTCCCACATGGGATCCCGGGCGTGCAAGGCGAGGACCTTAACCACTGCGCCATCGCGCCGGGCGCAGACCATGTTTTACTGGTGAATGTTTGGACAGTTCCCTTCTCCCAGCTGTGATGGGCACTCCTGTGCAGCTGTGTGTTTGCACAGCTGTTTTCCAGGCTCATGGTACATGAGGGGGAAGAGAAGACGGTGTGTGAAAGGGCAGAGTAGGGCTCAGGGTCTCAGATGGGGTGTGTCGGAGGCCACCGGGCCAGCCTGACATTGGACACCAACGGACAGGTTCTAGGCAGGGACTCACATGAGCCAGGAGTGCTTGCCTGGTACTCCTGTAGGCTGCAGCGTGGAGGCCCCAGTCACAGAGGCCCCAGCTGAGGAGGCTTTGCTCCCGTAGGCTGCTGCGTGGAGGCCCCAGTCATGGAGGCCCCAGCTGTGGAGGCCCTCCACCATCGAGGCCATGCTCCTGTAGCCTGCAGCCGATGCTGACAGCGGTTGGGGACCACAGAGACCCCAGTGAAGGACGGGTGTGGGCTCAGAGGGATCCCCAGGCAGGGGGATGGGGTGGGTGCCCAACACAGAGATTGGCTCAGGGACACACTCCTGGATGCCGTTCCCATGGCAACTGCATCCTCATGGGCTCTCCTGCTCCCAGTGCAGCCTCCCTACCTCGCAGCACCCAGAAGGCACCTCAGTCACTCCCAAACCGGACATGAGCACGTCCAACAGAAACCGGTGCCCAGATGGGGTGCTGGGGCTGCAGGCAGTGTAACCCACAGAGCCCCAGTGCGCCCACCCCTGCCCCTTGTATCTCATAGACATTGCAGTGGCACTGAACTAGGGGTGTGAGTGTCGCCATGGTGAACGCCATGCTGCAACGCGGACAACGGCGAGTCTCCCGCGAGGCCGAGGGCCCCCAGCCCTTCCCGATACCTGCTCTCCCAGCTGCGAGAGCCACCTCCAGCTCCTTCCTGCTCTCTTTCCTGCACACCTGCTTCTCTTAGCCATGTCTGACCGGGGACTCCACACCCCCTTCCCAGCAGGCACCCATGCTGCAGCCCCCAGGTCCCTCTCCACGCAGCCACGGAAACGACCCTGGTAAACTGCAAGTGTGTCGTCACACATGCATTAAACCTGCTTAAAACCCAGCTGCCTCCCAGGCCCGTGCTGTGGGCACAGCCTCTGCCCACGGTGCCAGCATCCCCCATGGTCAGATTCACGTCCTGGCTGCTCCACTTCCCACCCAGCTCCCTGCTGCTGCCTCTGGGAAAGCAGCAGAGCACGGCCCAAGTGCTTGGGCCCCTGCTACTTAGAAGGAAGACCCTGAAGAAGCACCTTGCTCCTGGCTCTAGTTTGACCCAGCCTTAGCCTCGAACCAGCAAATCGAAGGCCTCTCCTGACCTCCCCTACCCTTCCCCCACCCCACACACAACTCTGCCATTCAACTAAAATGCCTCTACCCTGGCTTTCTCAGCACACCTGCTGAAGGCCACCAGCTTGCTGGAACAGCCCTTTTCATTTCTTGTAGCCATCTCCCCCCCAGGGGCAGGCTCACACCCCGAGTAGAGGCCTGCCGCACAGGGCCCGGCCTCTCTGCTTCCTGCAGGGCGGATCCGGCTCCCACCCTGGGCAGGGCATCGGAGCTTGGCCCTGGGGAAGCCCTCAGCGGAGATCAATCTGGCAGGGGAGGCCCCATCCAGCAGGCAAGCGGCTCTCGGAGTGTGTCCTGTGGGCCCGACTTGGGCCACCTGTGGGTGATGGACCTCGCCCACAAGGGCCAGCACTCCACTTGGGTGGGCTACCCAGTGGCCCGCCCAGAGAGGGGCTCCTTCCACACTTAGATGTCTGGAAGCTGGAGGGTCAGAAACCGAGCAGGCAGTGCAGTGACCGACAGGACAAGGTTTATTGGGGTCCTGGGAACACGGGGGCAAGGTGGAGGTCCGTGAGGGGGCAGGTAGGGCAGCACCCCCTTCTCCTTGGGTGGGGAGGGACACGGAGACGGACAAACCAACAGAAAGGGAGAGAAGGACTGGCATTGCCATGAGGAGGGCAGGGCCGCCAGCTCCCCTCGACTCACTGCGGGAGGCCGGGGAACAAGGCCCACCCACTACCCACTACGGAAAAGGGGTGTCTGCCTTCCCACACTGGGGGCAGGTGTGTGTGTGTCTGGGTCAGTGCGTCTACAGGGCAGGGTCGGCCCAGCCTATCCCAGTCTAGTCTAGTGTCGGGTGAAGGAGACGGCCGTGCCGTGCGCTCCGCACGGGGGTGGGGGAACTAGGGGCGGGGGCGTCTACCCTGGTCCTCTGGGCTCAGGAAACGGAGAGGGGGAAAGGCAGATTTGGGCTGTACCCATCTTCTGGGGTGCGGGGGCAGCTCAGCTCGGTCCGTGGAAGCTCCCGGGAGTGGGATCCGGGGCACGGCTGTTGAATGTCGGCCCTTGGTCGTAGTGTGTGGGAGGGCGCTGTCGCGGGGCGCCTGGCTCCCACCCAGGTCCAGCATGTGAGGTCTCTGCAGACTCGGGCGCGCCCACCCGGCGTGTCCTTGGACCCCAGCCAAGGGGTGTTCGTCCTCAGCCTCCCCGGCTCGGGGTGGGGGTGCCGAAGCCCCTCTCGGGGCCGGCCCGTCAGTCCATGCCGCGGTGCAGTTTGAGGTGCCGGGAGAGGTTGCTGAGCGTGATGAAGCCCTTCCCACAGATGTGGCAGGGGAAGGGGCGCTCGCTGCCGTGCAGCAGCCGGTGGCGCTTGAGGTAGCACTCGTGGCGGAAGAACTTTCCGCACTCGAGGCACGGGAAGGGCTTCTCGCCCGTGTGCACCAGCACGTGCCGCTCCAGGTCGCGCGGCGAGCGGAACAGCTTCTCGCACTCGGAGCACCCAAAGATCCGCTTGCTGCCCCCGCCGCGGCCCGAGCCCGAGGCGGGCTCCCCGGGCGCCGCGGGCTCGCCCTCCGGGGCCGCCTCCGCCCCGGCGCCGTCGCCCTGGCCGTGGCTGGCCCGCCGGTGCTCCTCGAGGGCGGCCAGCGCCGCGTAGAGCGCCCCGCAGTGGCCGCAGCCGTAAGTGGCCGGGCCCGAGTGCGCCTCCAGGTGCCCGGCCAGGGCCGCGGCCGACGCGAAGAAGGTGCCGCACTCGCACTGGTACAGGGTGTCTTCGGACGGCTCGGCCGCCGCCTCCGGGAGCCCCCCGAGCTCGGGCACGCCGCCCCGCTGGGGGCCCAGGGGCAGCCCGCCGTCCCTGGCCGGTGGCGGCGGTGCGTCCCCGGCCGCGGCCCCCTCGCCGGCGCCCGAGGCCCAGGCCTGCACCGAGGGCGCGCCGGGCCCCTGCAGGTCGTGCGTCAGCTTGTGCCGCTCCAGCAGCGCGGGCGCGTTGAAGTCGCGCTCGCAGCGCGGACACTTGAAGGGCTTCACGTCGGTGTGCGCGGCCCAGTGGGCCGCCAGCTCCCGGCCCTGGTCGAAGCGCCGCGCGCACGCCCCGCAAGCAAAGGGCGGCAAGGAGGCGGCGGCCGCAGCAGCCGCCTCCGCCAGCCCCCAGCCGGCCGCTCCCGCCCCTTCCAGGCCCTCCGCACCGCCGGCCGCCGCGCCCCCGCACACGGAGCAGGGTCCCACGTTGCAGCAGACCGAGCAAGGCGCGCTCAGAGCAGGCAGGCCCGCGCCGGGCTGCAGCGGGGACGGGAGCACCCCGCGGTGCTGGCGCTTGAGGTGGCGACCCAGGCTGGAGCGCGAGGAAAAGCGGAGCTCGCAGACCAGGCAGCAGTAGGGCTTCTCGCCGGTGTGGACGACCTGGGGCGGGAGGAGGCGGAGGAGAAAGGGGGCAGGGAGGAGGAGCAAGTGTGAGACCCCAGCTCTGCCCAGGCGGCCCTGCTCCTATCCGCTGCGGGCCTGCGGGCGTTCTTCCGGAGCTCAACTCTGCTGGGTTGCTCGGGTCCTGGGGTCACTCTCAGTGCCGGGGACGGAGCCCGGGCCAGGCCCGCGGGTGCAGCAGGAACCTGCACCTGAACACTGCTGATTCAAACGGCCCGGAACAGCAGAGTGCTTGCAGGGCGGGAGTAACGGGAAGGTTGGCCAGTCCCCATCGCGCGGAGGTGCGGCCGCCTCGCATCACGGGGACCCGCTGCAGTGGCTTGCGCCTGGGCTTGGGGACTGTCCCTTCTGTCCCTGCCTTTATCCTCTCCGCTGACACAGGGCTGGACTGCCTGGGGCCTGGCACCTGCTGGCCACACTGCCCGAGATGTTCTTGGCGACCAAAGGCCCCTGCCTGCCCAGAAACGTCTTTGGAAATCTTTCCCTGAATGGCTGCCCACCTCGCTCCCATTCTCACATCTTAATTTCTTCCCTCCCACTGGAGTAGGCGTCTGACACAGAAGGTGACACTGCTGGGGCGGCTGGCATTGTGGTGTGGTAGGTTAAGCTGCCGCCTGCGATGCGGGCACCCCATCCGGAAGCCCAGTTAGAGCCCTGGCCGCTGCACTTAACGCCAAGTGTGTGAGCCAGGCGAAGCCCTGGGCATTTGGGGCGTGAAGCGCTCTGCTTCTGTCTGGCTCGCCCACGTCCCGCCAATAATCACAGGAGGATTTCCTGTGCGACTCTTTTCTCTTTCCTAAACACCCCGGCCTTGTATCTGCTGTCTCCCAGGTCAGCCACTGGGCTGCTGGCCACCACCCAAGGAATCTACGTGTTCATGAGACCCAGAGTTTATTGACGGATTCGCCCCGGCAGCCCAGGGCAGACTTCAGTTGGGAACTGCTGAACCAAAGAACGCAGTGTGTTTGTGGAGAGCCATTCTTCAAATGATGAGGGAGGGGATGGCAAACCCGAGGGAAGGGGCAGGGCGGGAGGGAGAGGTCTAAGTCCCGGGCTGAGACAGGGATGGCAGAGGCTGTGCCTGGAGTGCGGGAGGGGCAGCACTGGGCGCTGGGCGGTGGGCGCTGGGCACTGGGCGGTGGGCGCTGGGCGGTCGGGGCTGGGCAGTGGGCGCTGGGCACTGGGCGGTGGGCGCTGGGCACTAGGCGGTGGGCGGTGGGCAGTGGGCGCTGGGCGCTGGGCAGAGGGCGCTGGGCAGTGGGCGCTGGGCGGTCAGGGCTGGGCAGTGGGTGCTGGGCACTGGGCAGTGGGCGCTGGGCATTGGGAGGTGGGCGCTGGGCAGTGGTCGCTGGGCGGTGGGCGCTGGGCAGTGGGCGCTGGGCGCTGGGCAGTGGGCGCTGGGCGTGCCCCGGGGAGGCACTCACCTGGTGGTGCAGCAGGCCCGTGGAGTCGCGGAAGCCCTTGGGGCAGGCGGAGCAGCGGTAGGGCCGCTCCCCGGTGTGGGAGCGCAGGTGGTTGGCCAGGTTGAAGCTGTGCTTGAAGCCCTTGCCGCAGCGGGGACACGCGTGGGGCTTGAGCGCCGTGTGCCGAGCGAAGTGGCGCCGCAGGTCGGAGCGGTAGCGGAAGCTCTTGCCGCATTCACTGCAGTGGAACGGGACCCGGGGGGCGGCGGGGGCCGGGGTGGAGGCCGGGCCGGGGACTGGGGGCGCTGGCAGCGGGGCGTCACCCATGGTGCTGGGCGTGCAGTGGCACGTGGGGACTCTGCGAGAAGGAGAACAGGAGAGGCTGAGGGGCTCAGCCCTGTGCAGCCATCCCACTGGCCCAACGACTCCGCCACTACTTGCAAAAGCCCCTTCCACTATTTCCTAAATCCTCAATTCCTGGCTGAGCCCCGCTCACGTCCCGTCGACTCTTGATACCAGTGGCGTAGCAAACAGGACAGGGACGTGGGGTCACTTGTGGACGCTGACAGCCCGGGGAATGACATTTAGGGTCCATCCTGGCTGAGCCCCGTCCACGTCCCAGACCCAGCTCAGCACTTGGAGGGACAGGGCTTCGGACCCAGCAACCCTGCGGCCATCACCCAGGGACATTTTGTGGTAAACGGTGGCAGGGGGTGATGCCTCCTGGGGCCAGCGCATGGCCAGCAGCTGCCCAGCGCACCCTCCCAGTGCCGCCCGGCATCCATAAGCGCCTCTCTTCCCCACCTGCCCGACTCTTCCTCTGTCCTCCCTCAGCCCTGTCACCCATCACAGCCTCAGGGAGGTCCCTTCCACCCCTAAGCCCAGGCCCCGCCCCTCGAGTAGCCCCACCCACCTAGCCCAAGCCCCGCCCACCCGCACCAGAGCATCGCTCCATCAAGCGCCGCCCTCTCCCTGCTAAGCCCCGCCCGTGCCATAGCGCCTTTCGCTCAAAGTCCCGCCCCTCACTAGCCCCTCCCGGCCCAAGCCCCGCCCTCTCCACGCTAAGCCACACCCCTCGCTAGCCCCGCCCACCCACACCACAGCTCCTCTCCTTCAAGCCCCACCCACCTGGCCCAAGTCCCGCCCCTGGCTAGCCCCACCCATCCGCACTATAGCACCTCCCCCTCCTCGCTAGCCCCACCCACCCGGCCCAAGCCCCGCCTACCCGCGCCAGCACTCTCTGCATCAAGCCCGCCCCTCCTAACTAAGCCCCACCCACCTGGCCCAAGTCCCACCCACCAGCACCACAGCACTTCTGCGTCAAGCCCCGCCCCTCCCCTCTAGGCCCCGCCCCGGCCGAGGCGCCCGAGCCCCCCCACCGCAGTCGGGACCAGGCCTCGGGAGCCGGCCTTTGTGCCCCTCCCCTGTGCCTGGGGGTGCCGCCCCCGCGGGCCCCGGGCCGGCCCGGCTGCCAGAGTCCACCTCGCTCGGGCGGAGCGCCGGTCCTGGAGCCCCTGCGCGGCCCCGGGAGGCCGGAGGAGGCGGTCGGCTTTCCTCTTTAATTACTTACACCTCCCTCTGGGCGCCGACATTTTGGGCAGCGGGGGCAGCGTCACTTCCACCCGGGGGGCCCCTCGACTTCCGCCTCGGCTCCCCCCGTTTCCCGCCCTCTTGGCTCCCCCTGCCCACCCCCGCCCCTTCGCCCGCGTCCCTTCCCTCGCCCAGCCCTGGAGCTTAGGGAAGCCGGGCGGCTGCCATCTTGGGTGAGGGCAGGGAGCAGGGCGGGGCTCAGGGCGCGCGCGGCGCCATGCAGACTGAGGGCAGCGAGGTCAGCGCGCGGCGTCGGCCCGTGCAGGGCGGCGCCAGGGGGAGCTGGCTTAGTCCGGGGAAGGGGCGAGTCCCCGTCCGCAGCCGCGCTGTCATCCCTAAGGCATCGGGAGAAAGGAGGATTCGAAAAGCGTCGAGCGGGACTGAGATAAGACCAGGCACCATCTTAACACTCAGCCCTTCAGGAGACCGAGAAGCCGGCCGGGCGCCATGTTCGTTACGGGCAGCGCGCTGCCATTTTCTCGCCTCTCCTCCTCCTGGTGCCGATGCTCGGGTCACCCGGCTGGGTGCTTTGTGAGGAAAAAAAAAAAGAAAAATAATAAAAACATGTGTACGTGCTCGGCGATGTGGTGGGGGGCCGTTCCCCGGCGGGGGCGTCCGGGGCAGCAGGTGCACAGGCTCGCTCCGCGCGCGGCCCTGCCGGTCCTTAGGACCCAGCGAGGCCCCTTTGTTCCCCGCAGGCGCGCGACCCGCGTGGGGGGAGCGGAGGCCCCGCGTGCCCGCCCCTGCCCACGCGCCGGCCCGTGGCCCCCCGCGCGTTCACGGGCGAGCCAGGCGACATGCAAATGAGGTACCCGGGAGGCGGGGGGCCCGGCGGGGGAGGGGGCCAGGCCGCGGGCGCGCGCCCCCTCCCCCCTGCACCTGTTCCCCGTGCGCGCGCGCCGCGGAGCCGGCCCGGGGCGCGCGCGCACACGCGCACGGGCGCGCGGACCCCCTTGCCCGCAGCCCCCCGGCGGTCGCGGCGCCGCTCATTGGCCGTCGCCCCCGCAGGGCCCGCCCCGCGCCTCCCGGGGCCGCGACGAGCTCTCCGCGTGCACGAGGGTGGCGGGCAGAGGGGTCCAGCTGTCCCCTCCTGATGGAGCGGTGGGCCAAGCTTCCTGCAGAGGGGTGCGGGGTCACCGGCAGCACCTGCTCCGCGCGGCACGTGCGCTCTGCCCAACCCGGCTTCCGCCGGCGCCTCGCGCTCCCGGGACCCCAGTGGACGCTGGAACCTGGGGTGGTGGCCATGAAACGCGCACTGCGCACCAGGTGACGTGCTGGGGTGTTTAAAAGCTGCCGCCTCAGCTGATGTCCACTGCCATTCTCCCCCCGCCCCCCGCACAAGAAAAAGCCAGGGGCGTACCTATTCCGCAGAGAAGGAAAACTGCTCAGTCCCCAGTGCCGGTGACCAGTGGGGTCCCAATGGGGTCCGGGGCCTGGTGCTGCCGACCCGGCTTGAGTCTGCTATTCCGCACAGCTGCCCACTGCCCCGGCTCCCCCGGGTGCATCTGAGGTGCAGTGGCCGCATCACTGTCCTGGCGATTTGGTAGAACAGAGTCCTGTCCCTCTCTCTGCCCCCAAGCAAAAGGCAGGTCACACTTGGTCCATAGCCCCGTCCCCACTGGAGCCACTTGGGGTTTGTTGGGGTTTTGGGGGTTCTTGGCTTGGCCTGCACCCTCCCTTCCTGGAAGGCTTTCCTTTCTAGCTCATGTTGACCTTGACCGTCTAGAGCAAGGTTAGGGAGGCGTGGGGGCACAGGGGGGCACAGGGGCGGCAGATTAGGAAACCCTCTTGTTCTGTCCGGAACAGCGTGACCTGGAGGTGCCTCAGTGGGTGCTGGGTCGGCCCACTCGGACTTGGGGGCAGTTGGGGGACACCGTCCCAGCCCTGACACTGCCCCTCTCTCTCCATAGCCAGCTCCAGTGTGTAGACCCAAGCCCCCCACTGCTCCATGGACACCCCCAGCCCAGACCCGTTGCCTTCGCCTTTGCTTGGAGAGGAAGAGCGAGCTCTGGCCTTGCCGCCTGCAGCTCCCGGAGGCCCAGCTCCCGCGGGGGGCACCTCCTCCCGCCGGGCGCTCAAGGCCTCTGGTCCACGCAGGCGGGGTCGCCGCTGCAAGGCAGGGCCGGAGCCGGCGGGGCCGGGGGCCACAGCAGGGGACCTGCTGCTGATCGATGATCAGGGCGTGCCCTACACGGTCTCCGAAGGGTCGGCGTCGGGCGGGCCCGAGGGCTCAGGCCCCAAGAAGGCGCCGCACCTGTGCGTCGTGTGCCTGCGCGCCTTCCCCTACCTCTCCGACCTGGAGCGTCACAGCATTTCGCACTCGGAGCTGAAGCCGCACGAGTGCAAGGCCTGCGGCAAGACCTTCAAGCGCTCCAGCCACCTGCGGCGCCACTGCAACATCCACGCCGGCCTGCGGCCCTTCCGCTGCCCGCTCTGCCCGCGTCGCTTCCGCGAGGCGGGCGAGCTGGCGCACCACCACCGCGTGCACTCCGGGGAGCGCCCCTACCAGTGCCCCGTCTGCCGACTGCGCTTCACCGAGGCCAACACGCTGAGGCGCCATGCCAAACGCAAGCACCCCGAGGGCCTGGGCGCGCCCCTCGGGCCCCCGGACCCAGGGTCCGAGCCGCCGTGGGACGACGAGGGCATCCCGGCCACCGCGGGGGCCGAAGAGCAGGGGGAGGAGGAGGAGGCGGGAGGGCAGGAGCCGGCCTGACCCACATCCCCGGCCCCCGCGCCCCAGGCCAGACTTAGAGCTGGCTCTGCAGCAGGTGCTGGGCCTGGGCAAGGAGGCCGGGCACCCTTCCGGGAGGGCGCGGAGGGTGGACACCGAAGCTTCTGGATCCTGCTGCCGTCTGCCGCGGTCCCCAGGACTAGGAGGCGCTCAGAGGCCAGGATGGAGACACCCTGCCTCCAGGCTTCCTGTGCTGCGCACTCGCGCGCGCACGTGGGTTCCGTGGCGACACTGCCCTGCCGGAGTGCCTGGGGTGGGAGAGGACCCCCACCCACGCGCATCACGCGCGCCGTTAGGTGCCAATCACCAAAGAAGTAGCGCCGACGAGGCCTTCACTCGTCCGCCGCCGTTCCCGGGAGTCCCTAGGGTACCCCCCAAATAAATATGCAATCGAAGTCAAACCTTGGAGACCCTTCCATGCAAACGTATAGCAAGCCCATTCCCTACGCCGTCCACACTCCCAGAAGCACGGGCGCGGGGGGACTAAAGCCGGCTGACCTGCGCGGGGGGACTAAAGCCGGCTGACCTGCGCGGGGGGAACTAAAGCCGGCTGACCTGCGCGGGGGGGGCTTCAAAACCTTGAGGAGGTCTTGGAGTTAGAGACTGAGCAGGTTAGCAGGGGCGGGATACCCCAGGAGAAGGTGCTGAGTGGAGGACGCAACTGCCCTCCTGAGGGGCCGCAGAGCGACCACCTCAGAAGGACTGAGAATGCAGCCCCTTGCCCCCCAGGATTCCTCGGAATGACTGACAGAAGAGTCGACGCTGGGGTGGGGACAGCCGCCGTGCACCGGGTAACCTGAGAGGGGCGGCCTGCAGGAGGCCGGGGCGGCCACCTGACTCACGGGGGCGGGGCTTCGGCTGGGGGCGGGGCTGCGGGGCGGGGCGAGGGACCCGAGGAGGGAGCTGGGCTTCGGCTGCCCGAGCCGGCGAGGGCGTGGTCGGGGCGGGGCTTCGGTCGGATGGGCGGGGCTCAGGTGTGAGAGCCGAGCCAAGGGCGTGGTTTCTGCGACCCTCCGCGGGCGTGTGGGCGGGGCCTTGAGCGACGCGTAGAGCGCAAGCCCGGCGAGCTCGGCTCGCCCGGCGGAAGCGGCTCCGGCGCTCCCTGCCCGCAGCCGCGACTCAGTGCGCAGTCGCAGTGGCCGCCGCCGCCGCCGCCTCTTTCCGATTCTCCACGCCGGCGCCTGGAGAACGGGCGCGACTTCCGCTTCCGGGCGGGCGGCCCGGGGCGGCGGGGGGTGCAGGGGGCGGCGCTTCCGGCCGGGCCCTCGGGTCTCCCCGGAGCGGCGGGCGCCTCCTCTGCCTCCTCGGCCTCCTCCCGGCGGAGACCCCCGGCGCCGGTGAGTGAGCCACGGGGCTGGGGGCCCGGGCGCGACGAGGGCGGGGGGTCGCTCGCGCCATCCTCGGTGCTGCTCCCCGCCGGGGCCTGGCCGGGGCGGGCCACGCCAGCTGTCCGCCCGTGAACGCCCCCCGGGAGGGGACCTCCCGCTGGGGGTCCCCCGTAATGCCGGGGGTCGCACAGCTCCGCCTCCCCTCCCCCATCGCTGCCGCCTGCAGCTCCGCCCCCCTCCGCCGCTCCTGAACCCCCGGGGTTCTCCCCGGAGCACGGGGCCAGGTGGCATTGCAATAGTGCTTTGCCACGGAATGGCCCCCTCGGCCCCCGGTATTTCTGTGCACGCGCAACAGCCCCCCACTAAAGCTCCTGGCCTCCCATTTTTGCTGGTGTGATAATACTCTGCATGCTGGTCACTGCTTCCCCACACACAGACACAACCTTTCGAACTTGAAGAACATACTTGCCACCCACTCTGTCTAGGGCGGTGTCTGCACCCCCACTTGTCCTACCCCTCGAGGAAGGAAGGACCCGCGTGCCTGGCTGCGGGCTCCCACCCCCAGCCCCCCAGCCCTCTGCGCCTGCCCTGCTCAGCCTCGCCCCCGGTGTCTACCTCTCCCTGCTGGCCCCTGCCTTCTCGCCCCTTTCCCTCCGTGGTCCTGGACCCCCGGCCGCCGAGGGTGTGCGCCGTTTGCCCCAGGCGTGTTTCCTGGTGGCGAGGGGCAGGAGGCCTGTGGTCGCTCGTTGCCTGGAGTTGTTGTGCAGGTCCAGTAAGAGATGAGCCAGTGACCAGGGTGGGAGAGGGTTGCGACCTGGCCACGGGAGGAGCTGGCACAGCAGGATTAAGGGTGTGGGGTGCAGAGGGACCCCCAGGCCTGGGAGATGAGAGCGATGCAGTGCTCTTCCTTCGGTAGTTGGCAGCGCATGGGGCAGTGGACAGCTGGCTCTGCTGGAGCGTGTCCGCAGGAGGATTCTCGCGTGACATGTGGATGGGGTGGGCAGGAGCCGGGCGCTGTGAGGGCCTCTCAGGAGAGTCCTGTCCCCCTCGCTGCCCTGGCACGTGTGTGGGTATTGAATTCCCTGCCCGGAGGGGACCCAACAGTGAAGTGATGAACGGGGACTGCCTGTCCTGGACTCCTGGGTACAGTCTTTTTTTTATTATTTTCTTTTTTTGGCAAATGTTGGCCAAGGCAGGCACTGCTGCAGATTCTTGAACCAGAGTAGCGATCAGAATCTAAAAATCTTTGGCCTGCTTGGGGGGCAGGTGGGGACAGCAAGGTGGGCCTTAAGGCCAGGAGGTGGAGTACAGGTGTGTCCAATGGTCATGGGGTCCGCAGGATGCGAAGGCCATGCGAGGCCCGGGTGTGGGCCTGTGCAGTGAGAGCGGTGGACGGGTCTCTGTGGGCCTGGGAAGGTGGCTGAGGCTGTGAGCCGGGAACCCGCGGGCATCGGCATCGGAGACAGGAGCCCTGCCCATCATCGTAAGGGTTCTGTTCTTGAGTGAGATGGGCGGTCACAGTTTGGGCCTTGTCTCTGCCATCTGGGAAATGGGAGAACAGTCATGTTTGTAGGGTTGTTGTGAAGCTGGGGGAAGCCAGCCGTGCTCACAAGGGTTTTGATGTGGTTGTTGGGTAAGCCACGGGAGAGGGAGGCTGGACTCAGCACTGGAATTGACCATGGAGGGCTGTGGCCTTGGACGTTGGAGCCCCATGGTGTGTATCAGCTCCTTGGGTGTGACTGTGGGTCCCTCGTGGTGGCGGCACTGAGGGCAGGTGTGCAGGGATGCATGGCAGGATGGGCACAGGTGCCCTCACCCCTGCAGACATGGAGAGTGGACTCAGGAGCAGCCCTGGACTGAGTGGGCACTGTGGCTGCTATACGCACGGTACGGTCTCAGGGCACCGGGGCTGCTGTACGCACAGGCTGAGGGCACCGGGGCTGCTGTACGCACGGCACGGGCTCAAGGTACCGGGGCTGCTATATGCATGGCACAGGCTCAAGGCACTGGGGCTGCTGTATGCATGGCACGGGCTGAGGGCACCAGGGCTGCTGTACGCATGGCACGGGCTCAGGGCACCGGGGCTGCTGTTCGCACGGCATGGGCTGAGGGCATCAGGGCTGCTGTACGTACGCATGGCACGGGCTGAGGGCACCAGGGCTGCTGTACGCATGGCACGGGCTGAGGGCACCAGGGCTGCTGTTCGCACGGCATGGGCTGAGGGCATCAGGGCTGCTGTACGTACGCATGGCCAGGCTGAGGGCACCAGGGCTGCTGTATGCATGGCACGGGCTGAGGGCATCGGGGCTGCTGTACGTACGCATGGCACGGGCTGAGGGCACCGGGGCAAATGCACACCACGGACTGTGGGCACCAGAGCTGCTCATGGGCTGTGGGCACTGGGGCCGCTGCATGCATGGCACGGGCTGAGGGCATCAGAGCTGCTGCATGTACGGACTGAGGGCTCCTGGGGCGCTGCCCGCTGTGGCACTGGCACTCCATGGTGGCTGTGGGTCACCTGTCCCCGTTGTGAGGCCACTCATGCAGTGAGGCCTCTTTGCACATGACACCCTCCTGTGTCTTGTCTCCCTCCCAGGAAGGCTCCCCAAAAGAGGAAACGGCTCCTGTTTCCCACAGGCCCATGCACCCCATGGCACCTGCCAGGCTCTCTTCCCTGGACACCAAGGTCCCCCGTGTCAGCTCCTGGTCTGCCCAGTGTCCACTTCCCCTGGGAATTCTGGTCACTCTAGTCTTGTTCCGCTGATACCAACACAGCACCTGTGGCTTCCGTTCCCCTCCGAGTGAAGCTTTAGCTCATCTCCCGCCTCCCCGGCCCGGGGCTTGTGACCACTCCTCACTGCTGCTGTCTCCTCGGGCCCCTGCTGAGTTAGGAAGGTGTGGCTTGATGCCCACACAGCTGAGTCCTTGCATCCTTGGCATCTGTGCCAAGCTGGTGGCCATAACCAGGACAAGAACATGCAGCTGAGTAAAGGGCCAGAGAGTGCCTGGGGCGGGCAGCGGGACAAACGTCTCACCATGTGGTAGGCACGCCTTTGGAAGACCCTGGGCCTCGCCCGTGGGAACACCCTTCACTCCCCAAACACGGTTCCCGCCACCTGGCGTCCCTGCCCCTGCCCACTCTGAGGGGCAACCCCAGGCCTCGGGCAGGGGGAGAGTGGAGTCTGGGCTCCGTGCGAGTCACCGGCCTCTCAGCCTCAGTCCCCTTGTGTGTCCTGTGGCGTGTGGACTCCGAGTGCAGGGCTGCGGCGGGCTGGGCCTGGTGGCACCTGGGTCGCCTCTGCTCCCTGTCTCCTTACAGGGTGGGCTTCCCTGGCTGTAGCCCCCACCTCAGGGTGCTCTCTCCTCCTGGGGATCATGTTTAACGTGGGGATGTGGAGGCCATGGGAGGAATATAGCCAGGGCTGGAGACTAGAAATACCCAGCTCCTGGGTGGGGGCGGAGTGGGACGCATTCTTTCTGCACCTGTGGGCTGGGGGAGGGGTGTGAGCAGAAGGCAGGGTTGTCCTGAGCCCCCGCGGCGAGATGGCTGGGAAGAGGACTGCAGGAGCAAGGTCCTACCTAGGGGCAGCTGCGGGTGGATGGACAGTGCCAGAGCCTGGCAGCCGGGGGGAGGGGGTGGCATGGGCCTCTTAGATGCCCCTGACGTCAGGCCCCTGGGGTCCTCGTCCCGCTGCCCCCCCCCAGACTTGGAGCGGGTGTGGGTCCCAGGTGCCCCACCCCGCCCTGCTGCTGGGCAGTGGGGGACTCCCACCTTGTGAGGTGCTGGGGGGAAGGGCCTGGGCTTGGGGGCCTGCCACCATGGTGCCTTTGGGGCAGGGCTGGGCTTGCTGTAGTGTGAGTTGGTAACACCACCGGGGAGCCGGGCCTGTTCCTGACAGCCTGGATTGGAACTGGTTCTGGGGCTTCCAGGGACGGACAGGCACACGGCTGGGCTAGCACAGCTCTGAGGAGAGCCAGTGGGGACCTGGGGTGCTTGGAGAGCGGTGCAGCGGGCCCCAGGAGAGGGGCGCTGGGGGTGGGAGGCCGGAGGAAGCCCCCCGCTGCGCGCGTGCTCAGCCCCCCTCTCGTTCCCTCGCAGGGTCTCCTCACCGCTGGAGATGGAGGCAAACCCGGCGGGGGGCGGCGCCGGGGGCGGGAGCAGCGGCCTGGGGGGCGAGGACGGGGTCCACTTCCAGAGCTACCCCTTCGACTTCCTGGAATTCCTCAACCACCAGCGTTTCGAGCCCATGGAACTGTATGGGGAGCACGCCAAGGCGGTGGCGGCCCTGCCCTGTACCCCCGGACCCCCGCCGCAGCCGCCGCCGCAGCCGCCGCCGCAGTATGACTACCCGCCGCAGGCCACCTTCAAGCCCAAGGCGGAGGCGCCGTCCTCATCTTCATCCTCTTCCTCTTCCTCCTCCTCTTCCTCGTCCTCGTCCTCCTCGTCCTCCTCTTCCCAAGCCAAGAAGCCCGACCCTCCGCTGCCGCCCGCCTTCGGGGCGCCCCCTCCCCCGCTCTTCGACGCGGCCTTCCCTGCCCCGCAGTGGGGCATCGTGGACCTGTCGGGGCACCAGCACCTGTTTGGGAACCTGAAGCGTGGCGGTCCGACGGCGGGGCCAGGGGTGACTCCGGGGCTGGGCGCACCCACGGGGGTCCCAGGACCCCTGCCTGCCCCGACGCAGACGCCGCAGGGCCCCGCGGCTGCAGGGGCGGCCTGCGATCCCTCCAAGGACGACAAGGGCTACTTCCGGAGGCTCAAGTACCTGATGGAGCGGCGCTTCCCGTGCGGCGTGTGCCAGAAGTCCTTCAAGCAGTCGTCGCACCTGGTGCAGCACATGCTGGTGCACTCGGGCGAGCGGCCGTACGAGTGCGGCGTCTGCGGCCGCACCTACAACCACGTGTCCAGCCTCATCCGCCACCGCCGCTGCCACAAGGACGCGCCCCCCGCCGCCGGGGCCCCGCCGCAGCCCGGCCTGCCGCTGCCCGCGCCCCCGCTGGGCCTGCCCGCCGCGCCCCCCGCCGCCGGCACCGCGGCCGCCCCGACCCCAGGCTCCTCCGGCCCCCCGGCCACGCCCGCAGCGCCCACCGTCTCCACCGATGGCGGTGCGGGGCCCGTGGCCCCGGCGGGGGTCGGGGTGCCCCCAGCCGCGACCCCCGCCACGCCCGGGGGCGGCGAGGGCCCGTTCGCCTGCCCGCTGTGCTGGAAGGTCTTCAAGAAGCCCAGCCACCTGCACCAGCACCAGATCATCCACACGGGCGAGAAGCCCTTCTCCTGCTCCGTGTGCAGCAAAAGCTTCAACCGGCGCGAGAGCCTCAAGCGGCACGTGAAGACGCACTCGGCCGACCTGCTGCGCCTGCCCTGCGGCATCTGCGGCAAGGCCTTCCGCGACGCCGCCTACCTGCTCAAGCACCAGGCCGCGCACGCGGGGGCCGGGGCGCCGCGGCCCGTCTACCCCTGTGACCTGTGCGGCAAGTCCTACTCGGCGCCGCAGAGCCTGCTGCGCCACAAGGCCGCGCACGCGCCGCCGCCCGCCGCGGCCGAGGCGCCCAAGGACGGGGCGGCCCCCGCGCCTCCCGCCTTCCCGCCGGGGCCGTACCTGCTGCCCTCCGAGCCCCCTGCCACGGACAGCGAGAAGGCGGCGGCGGCCGCGGCGGCCGTGGTCTACGGCGCCGTGCCGGTCCCGCTCCTGGGCGCGCACCCGCTGCTGCTCGGAGGGGCGGGCACCAGTGCCGCGGCGTCGGGGGGCGCGGGCGCCGGCGTGCCCGGGAAGACGTTCTGCTGCGGCATCTGCGGGCGCGGCTTCGGGCGCAGGGAGACGCTGAAGCGCCACGAGCGCATCCACACCGGCGAGAAGCCGCACCAGTGCCCGGTGTGCGGGAAGCGCTTCCGCGAGTCCTTCCACCTGAGCAAGCACCACGTGGTGCACACGCGCGAGCGGCCCTACAAGTGCGAGCTGTGCGGCAAGGTCTTCGGCTACCCGCAGAGCCTCACGCGCCACCGCCAGGTGCACCGGCTGCAGTTGCCCTGCGCCCTGGCCGGGGCTGCGGGGCTCCCCGCGGGCCAGGGCGCAGCGGGCGCCTGCGGGCCTGCCGGGGCCTCGGCCGCGCCCGCCGAGGGGCTGAGCTACGCCTGCTCGGACTGCGGCGAGCACTTTCCCGATCTCTTCCACGTCATGAGCCACAAGGAGGCCCACATGTCGGAGAAGCCGTACGGCTGCGACGCCTGCGGGAAGACGTTTGGCTTCATCGAGAATCTCATGTGGCACAAGCTGGTGCACCAGGCCGCGCCCGAGCGCCTGCTGCCGCCCACGCCCAGCGGCTCGCAGCCCTCCGACGGCGCGGGCGGCCCCGACGCAGCCAGCGTGCTGGACAACGGACTGGCGGGGGAGGTGGGGGCGGCCGTGGCGGCGCTGGCCGGCGTGTCTGGAGGCGAGGACTCGGGCGGGACGGCCGGGGCTGGGGGCGGAGGGGGCAGCGGCTCGGGCCCGGAGCGCTTCAGCTGCGCCACCTGCGGCCAGAGCTTCAAGCACTTCCTGGGCCTGGTGACCCACAAGTACGTGCACCTGGTGCGGAGGACCTTGGGCTGCGGCCTGTGCGGCCAGAGCTTCGCGGGCGCCTACGACCTGCTCCTGCACCGCCGCAGCCACCGGCAGAAGCGCGGCTTCCGCTGCCCGGTGTGCGGGAAGCGCTTCTGGGAGGCGGCGCTGCTGATGCGCCACCAGCGCTGCCACACGGAGCAGCGGCCGTACCGGTGCGGCGTGTGCGGGCGCGGCTTCCTGCGCTCCTGGTACCTGCGGCAGCACCGCGTGGTGCACACCGGCGAGCGGGCCTTCAAGTGCGGCGTGTGCGCCAAGCGCTTCGCGCAGTCGTCCAGTCTGGCGGAGCACCGGCGGCTGCACGCCGTGGCCCGGCCCCAGCGCTGCGGCGCCTGCGGCAAGACCTTCCGCTACCGCTCCAACCTGCTGGAGCACCAGCGGCTGCACCTGGGCGAGCGCGCCTACCGCTGCGAGCACTGCGGTAAGGGCTTCTTCTACCTGAGCTCCGTGCTGCGCCACCAGCGCGCCCACGAGCCGCCGCGGCCCGAGCTGCGCTGCCCCGCCTGCCTCAAGGCCTTCAAGGACCCCGGCTACTTCCGGAAGCACCTGGCGGCCCACCAGGGCGGGCGGCCCTTCCGCTGCTCCTCCTGTGGCGAGGGCTTCGCCAACACTTACGGTCTCAAGAAGCACCGCCTGGTGCACAAGGCCGAGGGCCTGGGCGCACCTGGGACGGGGACGGGCACCGTGCCCGGGAAGGATGCCTGACTGCGGCTTTCCCGGCCCTCCTGGCCGATGACCCTCAGCAGGCTGCAGGCCAGCGGGCTGCCCCTCGGACTGCCCCCTGCCCCTCAGAGCTTGGGCACTGCGGACACCGGACTGAATCCTCCCCGTCGCGGCCTCCCCTTAGCCCCAGCACACACTGCGACTGGCTCCTCTGTCCGCCCCCGTCCCGTGGCCTTCCCTCAGTGTCCTGTCCCCCCGGCCTGTGGCCTCTGGCTGGACGGTGGGATATGAGCAGAGGTGGGATTGCACGGGGAGTTGGGTGCTCCTTCGGGTTGGGGGGGGGGGGTGGGCGGGGTGACTTGTACAGCGTGGAGAACAATAAATCTTGTGCCCGGGTGCCTGAGTGTGTCTGCGTGGCAAGGGTGGGCAGGCTGAGGCCCGGGCCTCGAGTCTGAGGGCTCGCTGTTTGCTGCTCCGTGTCTGCTGGGAAGGGGTCAGTGTGTGTTTCGGAGGTGCAGGTGGAGGTGGGGGGCAGGAAAGTGCTTGCAGGAACAGCTCCAGCACCAGGGCTGCCCCCCGTACCACGGAGGGGACCCTGGCTGGAACCCCTCCCGTTTGCTGTGTGGCTTGTTCTTGCCACCTGTTCCCCCCCACTCCAGGACCTCCTGCCAGCCTCTCAAAGTTCCCCAGATGGTTCACTTTTCCCAGAAGGGGAACCTGAGGTGCAGAAGGTGCCCAAGGGTGCCTGGTCACTGGACCTGGGAGACGAGGCCGGGTGAGTGGAGATGCCAGAGCAGCAGCGAGCCAGCGCAGCCCCTGAGAGCTGCTGGTGGTCAGGCAAACAGCGGCATTGTGAGGGCTGCGGGGTGCAGAGATGCCCGCCAGCCCTTTCCGTTGGCAAGACTGGGCTCCCCTAGCGGGGGCAAAGGCCAAATTGGACAGAAGTGTGCAAGAGAGTGGAGGGCTCAGCCTCAGGGGATGCGCCGATCGACATGCCTAGCCTAGCCGGCAGACCACAGGCCAGCGGGGCACTCCTGCAGGGTTGGAGGCAGCAGCTCTTCTGAGCGCTGCCCGCCTGCCTCGCTTCCTCCCACGGCCACTCAGCCCTATGGGAGCCGCGTGGCCAGATTACAGTCTGCAGTGCAGCCATTGTTCTGTCTCAGCAGTGGAACAGGAAACGCCGGGGCTTGTATGAGGGAGGCAGAGTTCCAGGCACTGGGCCGTCTGTGCATCGTCTCCTGGGGCAGGAGCCCACCCCACCCTCCGCTTCTCCCTGGTCCCCCATCCTAGGGACTGGGAAGCAGAGTGTCGGGGGCGGGCCTCACTGCATCCCCAAAGCAGGCAGCCTGAACACAAGACAGTGTGAGACCAAGTGCGCCTTCAACAAGTCCTTTAATAGGAACCCCAGCCCCAAGTGCCGCTCACCCACCAGCGACCCCTCACTCCATGACTCGCCCCCAGCGGCGGCTGTGAGCCCTGCCTTTGGGGGGGTCAGTTCCCTTGGCTGCGTCGGGAGGTGGTGGATAGGCTTTCTGGGGCTGGCACCATCCTTCAGGCGGTGACTTGGGGACCCACGGCTGTGAGAAAGGGGTGCTAATCTCTGAGGTGCAGTGCAGTCCAGTGAGATAGGCCAAGATTCTACCCTGGTCACCCCCAGGGAGCCCCCAAGACAGCCCGGGTGCTGCAGACCTGGGACAGAGGCATGATGGGAGTGAGGGGCTGCACCTGCCCCTTTCAGAGTCTGGCAGAGGGTGGTGGGGGTCCAGAGCCCGGAGCCCTGCGGCACTGCCCCCGCCTCTAGGGGTCGGCCTCCGTTTTCACCGGGGCTGGCATCTCCCCGCGCCCCTTTAAAGGGTCTCCGAAGCCTGGGCCAGGCCCGTGGAGGTGCGTGCGCTGGTGCTTGCGGAAGTTGGAGGAGTTGTTGAAGGTGCGGTCGCACAGGCCGCAGCGGAAGGGGCGCTCGCCCGTGTGGATGCGCGCGTGGCCGCTCAGCACCGAGGACTGCGTGAAGCCCTTCCCGCACACGCCGCAGTGATAGGGCCGCTCGCCGGTGTGCACGCGCTCGTGGTCCCGCATGTCGGACGAGCGGCGGAACGGCTTGGCGCAGAAGCGGCAGGCGAAGGGCTTGCCCACGGCCGCGCCGGCCGCCGCTGCGGCCAGCACCTCGGGCAGCCCGGGCCCCTGCGCGCCCGCCTCCCCGCGCGCCCCCGCACCGTGCCGGCGCTCGTGGCGCAGCAGCGGCGCCAGCGCCCGGAAGGCCCGCGGGCAGCGGGCGCAGCGGTACGGCCGCTCGCCGGTGTGCAGGCTGTAGTGGGCTCGCAGGCTGGCCGGGCCCGGGCAGCGGTGGCCGCACACGTGGCAGCGACCCGGCTCGCCGCCCGCGGGCCCCGCCACGTGGCCGTGCTCGTGGAACAGGAGCTCGGAGACCAGGCGGAAGGCGGCGGGGCACAGGGCGCAGCGGAGCGAGCCGGGCGCGGGGGGCGCGGGGGGCGCGGGGCCCAGGCTGCTGTCGGTCACCTTCACCACCTGGATCTCGACGAAGTCGCTCGGCGGCGTGGCGGGGCGGCCGGGCTCGGGCAGCAGGACCTGGGGCGACACCGGGGGCCGGCACCTCTCATCGGGGAGCCACCTGCCGCCCCCTCCCTGTGCTGCCCAGCAGAAAGCGGGGTGTCCAGCCCGCCGCTTCTGGCCTCGGCAGCGCACAGCTCAGCCCGGGGTCCCGCTGCACTGACCCCCGAACCGGCTCGCGTCTGGCGCCGCACTGACCTCGGCTGACCCAGGCTGGCTCCCGTCTAAATTTAGCGTTCCCCATCCCCACCCGGTTAGTGCTCACTTCTCTCCCTTCCAGGACCAAGCGAACAGGGATGTCGCTAACGGTTTTCCTGCCCTCCCGCACCCAGGACACCCACTGCCCGGACAACGGGGTCCAGCGCGTCCCGCAGAGTCCAGCAGTCCGGGACTGCAGTGTCTGTGCCGTGAACAACGGGTGTCCTTGGCCCCAAGGGTCCAGGGAGGCAGCAGGGGGGCGCCAGGTTCCCGGCGGCGTGATCCGGGCCCGGCCTCGAACTCAGGGTCACCTTCCCCAACCTCGCCCTAGGACGCCCAAGCCCCGCCCACGCGGAGGGCCCGCCCCGAATTATGCATATTGCAAGGGCCCCGCCCGTCAAGGCCCCGCCCATCGCGCTGGCCCCGCCCCCGCCCGGCCGTCACAGGCCCCGCCCCTGGCCGCAGCCCCTCCCCCAGGCCCCGTTTCACCCGCACCACGTCCGGCGGCTCCGGCGAGCGCGACCCCGGGGTTTGGGAGCCGGGACGCGGGGGCTCCGGGCGCGCCGCGGCCATCTTGTGCCCGAGCCCCGCCCCCGAGGGCCCGGGATCGCGGCGGGCGGGGGCGGGAACCGGGCGGGCGTGGGAAGCACGGCGCAGGCGCCCTGCGGGAGGCGGGGCGGGGCGCTGAGGGGGCGGGGCCGCACAACAGCGGATGGGCGGGGTGTTCGCAGTGGGGGCGGGCCCGGGCTGGCGTGGGTGGCACCGCGCAGGCGCCCCTCTGAGGGGCGGGGCTGGACAGCAACGGGGCGGGGCGGGGGCGGGGCCTGCTCCGACTGAGCCCCCACACGGAGCACGGACGGTTTTTCTTTATTTTCCACCTGAGTCTCCCAGGCTAGCGTCAGGAAGCTGCAGAGCAGGCAGACGCACACGGTAACTCCTGGATTCACTCCTGAATCCCTAAACCACAGCTTGCAGACTCAACCCCGTGCCCTGCATGCTGCCATCCCTGCCAAGCCCCAGGTCATTCACGTGCGTGGCTCGCACGTTGCTGTGCGTGTGCGAGCAGGCGTGGGCAGGCCAGGCAGTAGCAGGGACGCCGCATCCCGCGTGGGAGACCCGGGAGGTGCTGCTGGGTTGGGTCTGGCCCAGCCACTTGGGAAGTCAGCCAGCGGATACATCTCTTTTCGGCTCTTCCAATGTCAAGCATGCCTTTGAAGTCAATAAATGAACCCTTCAAGAGAGGAAATGTCCAGGGTGCCATGTGTCCTGACCTCCTGCCTCGCACCGGGGTTTTGTGTTTGCAGACATCTGCAAGCCTCAGGGTGCTGCAATCTTGTGATGTCATGCCGGCACGTCTGGTGACGGCATCCTTGCGTCACCGGTCCGTGACGCGGTCCTGGTGGCCCTGCTGCCTCACGCGTGTTCATGCGCCTGTTGGATTCAGAGCTGGAGAGATGTTCCTGAGACCCTGAGAGCTTTCTGTGCCCAGCACCGCGTGCACCTGCTGATGACCCGCGGGCGGGTCAAGGTGCTCTCGCTGCCAGTTTCCCAGTTGGCTAAGCAAAGGACACAAACGTGGCTGCCCCCCAAGGTTGCTAAGAAGTCATGACATGGTCATTGTAATCACGGGCGTGAGCCAGCTGGGAGCCCTTTGTCTTTCAACAATTTCTTTTAAGAAAAATATAAGGGGCTGGTGCTGTGGCACAGCATGCTAAGCCGCAGCCTGTCACACTGGCATCCCGAGCTGGCTTCTGCTCCATCTTCCTCCTCGTGAGCCCAGGCAGTGGCAGATGGCCACGCACGTGGGCCCGTGAGAAGCAGCAGTGGAGTTCCTGGCTCTCAATTCTGGCCAATGACTGCTGTGGCCATTGTGGGGAAGTGAATCAGTAGCCGGAAGATATTCTCTCTCCGTCCTTCCTTTCCAACGCCATTAGCACTAACCAGTGGTCGCAGGCTAACCCTTGGCCCGCGCCCTACGCTCCTGCAGGAGCTGGCTCTCCTGAGCAAAAGCCAGCACTTAACGCACGCTAACTGCTCCCTGGACGGTGGGATCTCGTGCCAAGGAAAGTCTGTTTAACAGCTGACGCCATTTTCTGTAGTGAGCAGGGAGCTCCTCCGGCATGCCGTGACCATGGACTATGCAAAACTTTTAGGGGAACAGACACCAAGGTCGGGGAGGGCGGCAGGAGGCCGCCAGACTGCGCCCAACGAGAGGAGGCGCGGGGCAGAGGGGCACGGAAGGAACATAGAGAGGAGGAAGACGAGCGGAAGCCCCTGGGTAGAGGGGCCGGGAAAGACCACAGAGAGGCGGAAAACAAGGGGGAGGCGTGGGGTAGAGAAGCACGGGAGGACCAATAAGAATAGGAAAAAGAGCGGAAGCGTGTGGGTGGAGGGGCACAGGGAGGAGGAAAGAGAGCGGAAGGGTCGGGTTAGAGGGGCAGGAAAAGAGCATAGAGAGGAAGGCAGTGGGCGGAGACGCGGGGTAGAGGGGCTCTGCGCGGAGGGGGAGGGTCCTGGGACTCCCGGGCCGGCTGTTGTTCCTCAGGGGCCGGTGCTGTCACCGGCCGAGGAGCCGCGGGTGGGTCCCTGCCACCCACGTGCGAGATCGGCGTGGGCTCCCGGTGCCTGGCCTGGCTGGCCAACAGGCAGTGGGCGGCTGTGCTTCTCCTATGCACGCCGGTTCGTGTCCCGCCTGCTCCACTTCTCATCCCGCTTTGGATCAGCTCAGCTCCGGCTGTTTGAGGAGTCGGGAACCAGCGGGAGGAAGATTTCCTCTCTCTCTCTGCTTTTCAAATAACTAAGTAAATCTTTTTAAAAGAATCAAAGATAGGTGCCAGTCCCAGCCCGTGCAGGTGGAAAGGAGCAGAGGTGTGGACTGGATTGATGTGGGAAGGGGTTGAGCCGCTTGGTGGGTGAGCAGGCAGTTCCTGCACATGAAGGCTGTTGGTACAGGGACCCCACTGGCCCTCAGCCGGTGCCAGCTGCACCGCTGGCCTGGGGCCTCGGGCATTGTTTTTGTTTTTTTTTTTAAGATCTATTCATCTTTACTGCAAAGTCAGATATACAGAGGAGGAGAGACAGAGAGGAAGATCTTCCGTCCACTGATTTGCTCCCCAAATGGACGCAACAGCCGGAGCTGAGCCGATCTGAAGCCAGGAGCCTGGAGCCTCTTCCCGGTCTCCCACATGGGTGCAGGGTCCCAAGGCCTTGGGCTGTCCTGGACTGCTTTCCCAGGCCACAGGCAGGGAGCTGGATGGGAAGCGGGGCCACTGGGATTAGGCTGGCGCCCAAGTGGGACTCCAGCACTCCTCGCAGCTCTGGCCCCTGTTGTTTGAAGAGTGTGGTTCACCTGGATCCATTGCCGCATGTTACAATGTAGAGGTCTTCACTGTGAGTCTCTGGAACCTTCTTGCCACAGAACTGCAGCTGCGTGTGTGTGTATGTGTGTGTGCCTGTGTGTGCGTGTGTGTGCGTGTGCCTGTGTGTGTGTGTGTGTGTGTGTGTGTGCGTGTGTGTGTGCTGTCCAGCAGCCCCTCCTGCCTGTGCAGTCCCTCAGCTGCCTGCCCTACCTTCACGGGTGGACCATCCCTGACGCTGGCCTGCTGCGTGGCTGCCCCTTACCAGCCGAGGGCCAGGGTCACGGCAGGCTCCCCTCCTGGGTGATTGTGTCCAGAGAAACCGGGGTGTGCCAAGGGTGTCCGTCTGCCCAGCCACGCAGCGTGTCTAAGATCCTCTGTGTGCTGATTCACTCCCCAAGCGGTCACAATGCCTGAAGGTGAGTCAATCCGAAGCCAGGAGCCTGGAGCTTCCTCCGGGTCTCCCACGTGGGTGCAGGGACCCAGGGCTTTGGGCCGTCCTCTGCTGCTTTCCCAGGCCACAAGCAGGGAGCTGGATGGGAAGTGGAGCAGCCGAGATTAGAACCGGCACCAACATGGGATCCTGGCACGTTCAAGGTGAGCACTCTAGCTGCCAGGCTACTGTTCTGGGCCCCCTTTTGTATTAGAATTTTTTATTTTTGATGATGTTTGCATACATGATGAGGGTGTGAAGGTACAAGAGCTAGGGGAAAGTGGGAGTGATTATTGTTTCCAAATTTTCTATTTCTTATTCCCATATAATCCTTGCACACGCCGGGATCCCATCTGGGCTCTGGTTCTAATCCCGGCAGCCCCGCTTCCCATCCAGCTCCCTGCCTGTGGCCTGGGAAAGCAGCAGAGGACGGCCCAAAGCCTGGGGACCCTGCACCCACATGGGAGACCTGGGAGAGGCTCCTGGTTCCTGGCTTCTGATCGGCTCAGCTCTGGTCGTTGCGGCTACTTGGGGAGTGAATTGGTGGGTGGAGGGTATGTCTGTCTCTCCTCTCTGTATGTCTGACTTTTCCAGTAAAAATGACTAAAATTTAAAAAATGTAACCTCAAAAGAGTTTGAGATGGAGATCTCTTCCCTGTGGCAGTGCCAGCTGGAAGCCAGAGCTCCTTGTTGCTGTTGAGGGCTGGTACGACCCCAGCACCTGGGCCGTCTTCTCCCCTGTTCTCCCAGCGGCACCAGAGGGGAGCCGGGTAGGAGTGGTGCAGCCAGGATAAGGACCGTTGTGCTTCAGGTACCAGGCTGGTTCCTGGGGCATCCTCCACACTACTCTGCTGCTTGGAACAGCCTGGACCATGATCCTGGGTGCTGGCTGGGTCCTGGAGCAGCAGCGGCCAGCAGGGAGCAGCCTGGGCCGTGATCCTGGGTGCTGGCTGGGTCCTGGAGCAGCAGCGGCCAGCAGGGAGCAGCCTGGACCATGATCCTGGGTGCTGGCTGGGTCCTGGAGCAGCAGCGGCCAGCAGGGAGCAGCCTGGGCCATGATCCTGGGTGCTGGCTGGGCCCTGGAGCAGCAGTGGCAGCAGGGAGCTGTCCGTGGTCCTGGACACACTAGGCATGATTGGCAGAGCCCAGCAATGGCACGCCCTGATGAGCAGTGCAGGGACAGAGTCAGGCGGGTTTGTGTCCAGGAACGGGCAGGAACAGCAGCGTGTGCAGAAGGTCCGGGTTCGGCAGGGTGTGCTGGTTGAGGGGACCCAGGGAGGGCCCAGGGCTGGTCCTTTCTTGACACTGGGGATTCCTTTTGATCAGTCTGCATGGGACAGGGTCCACTGGCCTTGTGAGGGGCAGCCTGCCTTTTAATTTATTATTACTTAAAAAATATTTATTTATTTTTATTGGAAAGGCAGACATACAGAGAGGAGGAGAGACAGAGAGGAAGATCTTCTGCTCGATGGTTCATTCCCCAATGACCACAACAGCCGGAGCAGCGCCAATCCGAAGCCAGGAGCCTAGAGCCTCTTTTGGGTCTCCCACGCAGGTGCAAGGTCCCAAGGTTTTGGACCGTCCTCGACTGCTTTCCCAGGCCACAGGCAGGGAGCTGGATGGGAAGTGGAGCAGTTGGGACACAAACTGGTGCCCACATGGGCCTCTGGCGCCATAGGGTGGATAATTAGCATATTGAGCCATGGCACCACCCCCACCCCCCAGGCTACCTTACCCTTCTTGTTCCAGAAAGATCCTGAATTGTGTTTGACTAAAAGCCACAGCCTGCTGGCCCAGCCCTGGGGACACACAGATCTGGCCCTCTGGACTGTGCCCAGGCCACCATACCCCTCCTCCCACCCTTGCCAGTTACTTTCACGCCGAGTGGTCACACACTTGCTCATAGGTGGTGGTCATCCTTTTGCTGGGCCACAACAACCAAACGTGACACCCAGACTTGGGAGCGGGCAGTTGTGTAGTTCTGTGTGTGTGTGTGTGTGTGTGTGTAGACCCTCCATGCTGACCCCAGGACACTCCACTGCCCACAGCAGCTCGCTGCTGCCCTGACCTGTCCATGGCGTGGCCACCGCCGTTGCTTCAGGACTGGCTGCCAGCTTCTCTCAGGACAGCGAGTCTGAGGTTCATGTATTGTGGCCCTCCCTGGTCTGGGATTCCTTGTGTGACTGGATGGCATGAACTCGCGTGGGGCTGCGGAATGGACCCCAGCGGTTACTAGCTCTTGGTGTCAGAGCTTGGCGAGTGCGGGTGCAGTGTGCTGGTGGCCTGTGTGAGGGCACCCTAGCTGCTCTGGCAACCTGTAGGTGCAGGCCTGGCCAGCAGGGTCCTGTCCTGTATTATCAAATCCCACTTCAAGTCTGTATTGTGAAGTTCATTGACTTTATATAAAACAATTTGAAATATGAAAATCCCTCACTGAGTCCGCTGTGAGATCTACTGTGAGATTTGTCCAAGAACCTGCAGAATGGCAAGCTCCTGTCTCTGGCCTCTGCGGGACTTGGTCGGGACTCAGGGCTCAGACCCGCGTGGGGCAAGCCTGTGGGCGAGGGCAGCACCTGCAGCCCTTCCGCCTGTTCTGGCTGTCACGCGCTGGGGGTGGTCCTTAGGCAGCTGGGGAGTGGAGGCCGCCCTCAGTTGCTGGTGTGTGTGTGTGTGTGTGTGTGTGTGTGTGTGTGTGTGTGTGTGTAGGGGCTCTCATGGTGTCTTAACAAGCTGGCCTGTCCCAACTTGCTTTCTGCCTTGATGAAAAGATCCTGCTGTGACTGTGTGATGTTTGCGCATCATTGAGAAATGACAAACTCTCAGGTTGGGTGAATTAAGCTCATGTTTCAATTTTATTGTTTTTTCTAAGTTACCTGATTCCTCAAATAGCTTGAAAAGAATATGGGGCAGGCACAGTGGCATAGCAAGGCAACCCTCTGCTTGCAGTTCTAGCATCCCATATGGGTGCCGGTTCGTGTCCCAGCTGCTCCACTTCCCATCCAGCCCCCTGCCTGTGGCCTGGGAAAGCAGCAGAGGACAGCCCAAAGCCTTGGGACTCTGCACCCACGTGGGAGACCCGGAAGAGGCTCCTGGCTCAGACAAGCCTAGCCTTAGTTGTTGCAGTCATTTAGTGAATTAACCAGGGGGTGGAAGATCTGTCTCCGTCTATCTCCACTTCAAATGAATAAATAATATTAAAACTTTTCAAAACAAGATTTGTTTTAATTGGAAAGGCAGATCTACAGAAAGAAGGGATAATGATCCTCCATTCACTGGTTCACTCCCCAGCGGCTGCAATGGCTGAGGCAGAGCTGACCGGAAGCCAGGAGCTTCTTCTAAGTCTCCCACACGGGTGCAGGGTCCCAAGGCTTTGGGCCGTCCTCAGCTGTTTTCCCAGGCCACAGGCAGGGAGCAGCTGGGATCCAAGTCAGTGCCCATATGGGATCTTGGTACATGCAAGGCTAGGGGTTAGCCACTAGGCTACCATGTTGGGTCCAATTTTAAAACATTTTAAAAAACAGCTTTAGTGCCCTGTGGAGGCAGATACTGTGTGAGATGTCCCTGGCGAGGGTTAGTGACCCTCAGGGTAGGGGAGGAATTCCCCCTGGGTGCTGGGGACAGGGGCACAGGCCACACCAGCCCTTGCAGCTGTGATCAGGTTGATGGTCCCTTCCCCCTCGGCAGTGGGAAGTGAGGCCAGGACGACGAAGCTAAGGAGGTGAGTGGGCGCTGCTCAGCCATCTAGGAGGTTTTATTTATTTTAGATGATCCACTTATTTTAATTTGAAAGGCAGATTTACAGAGAGGAGACACAGAGATAAAGATCTTCCATCCACTGGTTTACTCCTCGAGTTGTCATGATGGCCTGAGCTGAGCCGATCGGAAGCCAGGAGCCTCTTCCAGGTCTCCCACGCGGGTGCAGGGTCCCAAGGCTTTGGGCCGTCCTCCACTGCTTTCCCAGGCCACAAGCAGGGAGCTGGATGGGAAGCGGGGCTGTCAGGACTGGAGCCTGTACTCCAGTGTGTAATGTTTAACCCACTGCACCAGCGCGCGGACCCTGAGGTCTGTTCTGAGATGAGACGTGTCATGTGTTAGAGGCCTCACTGGAATCTGATTATTTTATGTTGTAGTTTTTGAGGCTGGGGGGTCCTGATAGGGTGGCCCATCGTTCCAGACTGCCCCCCTGTGAGAACACACATCCTCTGGCCGGAAAGTGGGGGCCCAGACCCCACCTCCTGCCCTCGGCCACCAGCACCCACACCCAGGTGGGGACCCTAAGGACGTTGTCAAGGTACAGCAAGCAGCATCCCTACCCCGGCTCCTGGCTTCTCCCCCAGCCCAGCTTGGCCAGGCAAGCTAGGGAGACCTGGTGTCCCCCCCAGCTGCTCCTGGGCAGAGCTGCCAGGGGTGTCTTGATCGCCCCATGAGGCCTGTGGGAGCCCTCCTGGGAACGCAGGCAGAGTGCCCTCTGCCAGCTCCCATGGGACAAAGTCGGTCCTGGTCAGGGACAACCTCGGGACCCTGCCACCACATCGGCCTCTGCCTCCCTCCAGTTCCCAGGCGCTGTGCCCGGGCCCCCAGGACCTGCTGGAGACCTGGGGCAGCTCCGGCCCCACCCTGGCTCTGCGCAGGTGTTTAAGGACTGAGCCAGCGCGTGCGAGTTCTCCCTTGGTCTCCGACATCTCACCTGCCAGATACAAACCATTAAAGAATGAAAGAAAGTTCCGGAGGTGGGTTACGTTGTCCACCATTCTCAGTAGTCAATTTGGGGGACCTGTTGCGAGAGGGCACAGCTTTGCAGGAGCGGAGTTCAGCCCCGCAGTATTGCATATGCCACCTCTCTTGGGAGGCCCCCAGGAGGGCAGCGTGGCCACCTCTGGATCTTTCCCCTCCCTGCCAAGGGTTGCTGGGAGTTGGATTAAAGTGTGAGGTCCAGGTCCTTACTGGGCGGGCTGCCTCGCCCTCGTGCGGCCTCTGCTGTGCAGCTGGTGTGGTCCAGCGGGGCAGGTGGCCATTGGGGTCATCCCTGTCCGAGCCCCTGGCCTCGCGCTGCGGACGACCCTCGGGTGTCTCTCCCCGCAGCCCCCTGGGGTGGGCTCGGTCGAGGCGGGGCCGTGGGAGGGGCCGGCTCGGAGTCAGCGGAACCTTCGCACCGGCCACGCGCGCTTCCGGCCGGCGCCTTTTCCCAGGGACGCCGCCGCCCCTCGCGCCCCCGCGCCCACCGCCCCCGGTCCCCCCGAGTCCCCCGCGTCCCGGTTTCGCTGCCGGCGCCGCCCCGGGGAACGCGGCTTCGCTCCTCCTCCTCCTCGGGACCGAGAGGCCGCTGCACCGGGTACGGGGGGCCGGCGTGGAGGGAGGAGCCGGGGCAGGGCCGGAGGGCGTGGGGAGCAGAGCCGCGGCTGGAGAGCGGGGGCCGTCCGGGGGTCCCGGGTGGTCCGGGCAGTGGGGAGCAGGGGGCGATCCGGGGGACCGGGGGCGACCTATGGACTGGGGGCGGGGGGCGATCCGGGGGTCCCATGGACTGGGGGGCGGGGGGCGATTCGGGGGTTCTGGGCAGTAGGGGGCTACCCAGGGACCGGAGAGTGGGGAGCAGGGGGCGATCTGGGGGTCCCGGGAAGTGGGGAGCAGGGGGCGATCCGGGGGTCCCAGGGTTGGGGGGCGGGGGCGATCGGGGGTCCCGGGCAGTGGGGGGCTATCCGGGGGACTGGCGAGTGGTGAACAGGGGCCGATCGGGGGTCCCTGGTGGTCCGGGCAGTGGGGAGCAGGGGGCGATCCGGGGGTCCCAAGGACTGGGGGGCGCTCCGGACGACCGGGGAGTCGAGGGTGGTCCGGGCAGTGAGGAGCAGGGGGTCTCCCCGGTGCCCTGGCGGCCCCAGGACAAGGGGTGACAGCCAAGTGGGGAACTGGGTTAGTGGGGCGCGCCGGGCGCGGGCGGCGAGGCTGAGCCCTGTTCCCCCGCAGCCCGCGCCCCCAGATGCTGCTGCTGCCGCCGCGGCCGCCGCCCCCGCGCGCCGCCTCCCCGGAGGCCGTGGAGCCGCCGCCGCCCAAGGCGCCCCCGTTCCCCCAGGCCGAGGGTCCCGCGTCCGCCCCGTCCTCGGCGTCCGGCCCGCGGCCCCCGCGGCTGGGCCGCCACCTGCTCATCGACGCCAACGGGGTCCCCTACACGTACACGGCGCCGCTGGAGGAGGAGCCCCGCGGGCCGGCCCCGCGCGAGGCGCCCCCGGGAGAGCCCGCGCCCCGCAAGGGCTACCCGTGCCCCGAGTGCGCGCGCGTGTTCGCCAGCCCGCTGCGGCTGCAGAGCCACCGCGTGTCGCACTCGGACCTCAAGCCCTTCACGTGCGGCGCCTGCGGCAAGGCCTTCAAGCGCTCCAGCCACCTGTCCCGCCACCGCGCCACGCACCGCGCGCGCGCGGGGCCGCCGCACACCTGCCCGCTGTGCCCGCGCCGCTTCCAGGACGCGGCCGAGCTGGCGCAGCACGTGCGGCTGCACTGAGCGCCCCCCGCGCCCCGTCCGCCCCGCGCGCGATGTAGACCAAAGCCGTCGCCCTCCCCGGGCCCGGGCGCCGCGCGCGCGCGTCGAGAGGCCTCCCGGGGCCCCGCGTGTCCGCGCGTGGGGGACGCCGGCGGAAGGGCAGGGGCTCGGGCGGCTCCCTCCCCTCCCCGCCCCCAGACCACCCGCCCTCTTTGCTCAATAAACAATCCGCCCTCCGTGCTCGGGCTCCTGCTTGCGCGTCCGCGTGCGCGCGCGTGTGCCGGGGGGGAACCTGGGCGCGCGCCGCGGCCGGCTGCCCCCGGGAACCTTCCTGGCGGCGCCCGTTTCCGGCCGGAGCCGCTTCCCGGCGGCCCAGGCGCCCCGCCCCGCCGTTCCTCCCGCGGACCCTGCTTCCGCCCGGCTCCGCGCGCCCCCTCGGCGGGGCGGGGTGGGGGTCCCCGAGCGGCCGGCGCCCGGAGGCTGCAGCAGCGGGTACGGGGGGCTCGGGGCTCGGGGCGGCGGGGCCCCGGGAGCCGCACGCCGCGCTCTGAGCCCGTGCCCCTCTCCCCCAGGCCATGGCGGCCCCCGAGCCGGACCCCGCGGCGCCCGGGCCGCGCCCGCACCGCTACCTGCTCATCGACACGCAGGGCGTGCCCTACACGGTGCTGGTGGACGAGGAGCCGCCGCGGGCGCCCGCCGCCGCCGCGCGCACCAAGGGCTACCGCTGCCCGGTGTGCGCCCGCGTGTTCGAGTACGTGTCGTACCTGCGGCGCCACAGCGTCACGCACTCGGAGGCCAAGCCGTTCGCCTGCGACTCGTGCGGCAAGGCCTTCAAGCGGGCCAGCCACCTGGCGCGCCACCGGGCCACGCACCGCGCCGGCGGCGGCCGGCCCCACGGCTGCCCGCTGTGTCCACGCCGCTTCCGGGACGCGGGCGAGCTGGCCCGGCACCGCCGCGCGCACTCGGGGGAGCGCCCGTTCCAGTGCCCGCACTGCCCGCGCCGCTTCCTGGAGCAGGACACGCTGCAGAAGCACACGCGCTGGAAGCACCCGTGAGGGCGGCGCACGGGGCGCTGACCCCCGCTGCCCACCGCGCCGGGCGCTGCCCACGGGACCCCCGCTGCCCTCCGCTGCCCACGGGCCCGGACCCCCGCTGCCCTCCGCGCCGGGCGCTGCCCACGGGACCCCCGCTGCCCTCCGCTGCCCACGGGACCCCCGCTGCCCTCCGCGCCTGGCTCCGGGGTCCCCGCCCTCCACTCCTGGCGCCTGGGCGGGCGCAGCGCCGTTGTAATAAACGCCTGCATTGCAGCCCTCGCTCGCCTGGCCTGTTTGTGCTTGCCGGTGCCCCCCCCCCAGCGCCCCCCGCTGACCCCCCAACAGTAGCCACCCTGTTCCGGGGGGCGCTCAGTCCTGGCCGGCGCAGACCCCCCGGGCTGCTGAGCCGAGGACCAGCCCCCGTCCACAGGTGAGTGCGGTGGGCGCGGCGAGGGCAAATCGGGGTGCCACCCGCCAGGAAAGTGGGGTGCGCGACCCGCTCCCCAGGATGGGACCGGGGCTGGGGCTGCGCCGGCCCGTCCCTCTGCGGGGATAGCGGTTTTTTGTTCCCCGCTGGTAGAACTCGTCCTGGCTGCCGGGTCCCGGGGTCGCGGCCACCCCCGCACGCCCCGCAGCCGCGCCAGCGCTCCGGGATGGGAATTTCGTGACGCTCCCTGCCTGAGCCACGGGCGGGCGGGGGAGTGCTGCTGCAAGGGGCCATCGCGCAAGTGCGGCCCCCAGCCCGTGCCGCAGACGGCCGGCCCTCGCCCGGGCGCCGGGATCCGGGAGGACGCGCGCCGGGCCCGGGTCTCCGAGCCCCGCCGCCCGGACCCAGGCCCGCCCCGCCGCCCGGTCTCCGAGCCCCGCCCGCCCGCCCGCCGCTGGGCGGGCGCCTCCCTCCGCTCTCCTCCGCGACACTTTGCAGACGCTCCCCGCGTCGCAGCTCCCCGGCCCGGATTCCGCGCGCGGGTGGGTGAGCGCGGGCGCTGCGGCCCCTCGGACCGGGCGCGGGGCGGGGGGCGCGGCGGGGACGGCGGGTCGCGTCCGCGCCCCCGGCCCGGTGCGGGGACAAAGGGCGGGGGCGCGCTCCCACGCGTGACCGTCCCCGCACCGCGCACGCGCCGTGGGGGAGGGGCGTGGGCCGACCCCCAGCCGGTGCGGGGGAGATGGGGGCATGGCGCCCCCTCCTCCTGCCCGGGCCTGGGGGAGCGTGGGGGTCTCTCTGCTCTTGTCCGGATCTGGGGGAGAGTGGGGGTCTCTCGGCCTCGGTCCCTTGGCATGGCGCCCCCTCCTCCTGCCCGGGACTGGGGGAGAGTGGGGGTCTCTGCTCCTGCCCGGGCCTGGGGGAGAGTGGGGGTCTCTGCTCCTGTCCGGGTCTGTGAGAGTGGGGGTCTCTCTGCTCCTGCCCGGGCCTGGAGGAGAGTGGGGGGTCTCTCTGCTCCTGTCCGGGTCTGTGAGAGTGGGGGTTTCTCAACCTTGGTCCCTTGGCATGGCGCCCCCTCCTCCTGCCCGGGCCTGGGGGAGAGTGGGGGGTCTCTCTGCTCCTGTCCGGGTCTGTGAGAGTGGGGGTTTCTCAACCTTGGTCCCTTGGCATGGCGCCCCCTCCTCCTGCTCGGGCCTCGGAGGTGGGGGCCCCCTCCTCCTGCAGACCCCAGCCCTCCTCTTCCAGGCCGACCCTCCGCCCGTGTCCATGCCCCTGCGCCTCTGGCCGCTGTCCGCGTCCGGTGCCCTGAGCGCTCGCCCCGCTGCCCGGGCCCGCGGGAGGCCGAGCCATGAGTGACCGCCACAGCCGGAGGCGCACAAGTGAGGGCGCGCGGACCTCCGCCCGGGGGCTGGGGGACGGCGGGGCGCCCCGGGTGACCCGGGCCTCTCCTCGCTCGCCAGTCAAGAAGGACGAGGTGGCCTTTGACATCTCCGTCCCCTTCGAGGAGGCACCCCCTCTAGACTCGCAGCTCTTCTACGGCCTGAGCCCCTCGCGGGGCCCCTCGGAGGGTGAGCCGGGGCTGGCCGGGGCTGGCCGGGGCTGGCCGGGGCTGGCCGGGGTGACGGCCGCCCGCAGCCCGCGAGGTGACCGCCTCCCTCACCGTCCCTCGCAGAGCCTCCCGAGGCGGCGTCGCCCACCCTCGCCCTGATGAACGGCATCAAGGCGCAGCTGCACTTGGCCCTGGAGCGCAACTCGTGGCTGCAGAAGCGCATCGAGGACCTGGAGGAGGAGCGGGACTTCCTGCGCTGTCAGCTGGACAAGTTCATCTCATCCGCGCGCGTGGACGCAGGTGCTGGCAGGGGGCGGTCACTTCCAGGGCCCGGCCGCTCCCAGGACCCCATCCATCCCCAGGACCCGTCAGCCCCCAGGACCTCGTCCATCCCCAGGACCCCATCCGCTCCCAGGACCCCGTCCGCCCCCAGGGCCCCATCCACCCCCAGGACCCCATCCATCCCCAAAGCCCCGTCCACCCCCAGGACCCCGGGTCTGGCCCACCCGTGTCCTCTCTCCCCCAGGATCCCCGCCTGCCCGTCGCCCCCAGGACCCCGGGTCTGGCTCGTGTCCTCTCTCCCCCAGGATCCCCGCCTGCCCGTGCGCTCCCAGGGCCCCGTCCGCCCCCTGGTCGGGCTGCCCCTCCGCTGACGCGCGTCCTCTCTCTCGCCAGAGGACCACGGGCGCGCCAAGCCGGGGCCCCGGCGGCTGGAGGGGGACGGCCGGGCAGCGGCCGGCGGCGAGGCCTCCTCGGACCCGGAGTCGGCGGCCTCGTCCGAGGAGGGCGGCGCGGGCGAGAGGCGGCGGCCGCGGCACAAGGCGGGCGCTGGCCGGGGGCGCCTCGGGAAGCCCAGGGCGCGCGAGCGGCAGCGGGGTGAGCTCCCTGTGGGCGCCGGGGGCCGGCCTCGGGCGCTGGGCCGCCCCGGCGTGCCTGACCGCTGCCCTGTCCCTCCCGCCCGCAGTCAAGGACGCCGACGGGGTGCTGTGCCGCTACAAGAAGATCCTGGGCACGTTCCAGAAGCTCAAGAGCATGTCGCGGGCCTTCGAGCACCACCGCGTGGACCGCAACACGGTGGCGCTGACCACGCCGATCGCCGAGCTGCTGCTCGTGGCCCCGGAGAAGCTGGCCGAGGTGGGCGAGTTCGACCCGTCCAAGGAGCGCCTGCTCGAGTACTCGCGCCGCTGCTTCCTGGCGCTGGACGACGAGACGCTGCAGAAGGTGCAGGCGCTCAAGAAGAGCAAGCTGTTGCTGCCCATCACCTACCGCTTCAAGCGCTAGCGCCCAGTCCGAGCGTTCACATTAAAAACGCCCAACAGAGCTGACCGCTGCTTGCACTGGGGCCGCCTCGCGGGAGGGAGCCGCTGTCGCCATGGAGACGGCGTCGGGGCCTCCGGGCGGGGGGCGCGCCGAGCGGCGGCGTGACGTCAGCCGGGGCCCGGAAGCCGAGCTTCCCCCAACCCGTTGCCAAGACAACCGGGGGGGCGTTCGCGCTTAACGGTCCCGAGTTCCCGGCTTCTCGTTAGAGGCCAGCCAGATCCCGCGCACGCGCCGTGGGCTCTCTGAAACCTGACTCCCCCACCCGCTCCCAGAGCCGGCTGGGAGGGGCCGCGCCCCCGTCCGGCCTCCGCGCAGGCGCAGAAGGCCGCCTCGGCGCCCGGGCCCCCACGCTGCGCAGGCGCACCGAGCGCGCTGGCAACCTCCGCAGCGGCCGCGCGCAGCCTTCCGCCCGCCGGCCGCCTGGGCCCCGCGCAGCGTTCAGGCCCTCGGGAGGCTCGGCCCCGCTTCCTTCTCCTCTCCCGTCGGCAGAGCCCGCTGCCGAGCACCCGGACCCGCCCCCTCTCCCGGATCAGCTTCCCAGCCCGCTCGTTTCCGCCCTCCCTCCTTCCCTTCTCGGCTCCCGAAGCCGGAAGGAGCCGAAGCGCAGGCGGACAAAGCCGAAGCGGCCTGCGGGAGCCAGGTCTTCCGAGGCAGGGGCGGAAGGAGTCGAAGGGGCCGAGTGGAACCTCCGGAAAGAGCCGAAGCTTGTGATCGCGTTTATCGAGTGAGCACCGAACCCTTGGAGAGAGAAGGCCGGCGCTCCGGGACGGTTAGGATTGCCGGGAGAGAGGGCCCAGCGGAGCAGTTTACGCGGGGACGGTTTGGATTGTCGGAAAGAGCCGAACTCGTCGGGCCTACGGAGACGCCCGAACGGCGGCGGAAACTCGCGAAGCCGGCTCAGCCCGCCCTTCGGCCGACCCGTCCGGACTTTGCCGAAGCGCCTCGGGTGGGCGGGGCCGGCCGGCAGAGGGGGCGGAGACTGGGCGGGGCCGGGCCGCCGCGGCTAGCTTAGGCAGGAGCGGGGAGGCGTCGCGGCGGCCGGAAGTAGCCGAAGCTAGCGGCGGAAGTAGCCGAAGCAGCCGGAGCGGGCGGGCGGCGAGGCGAAGCGAGCGCTGCACAGGGCCCGACGCGGCCGCCTCAGCATGTCGGACTTCGACGAGTTCGAGCGGCAGCTCAACGAGAACAAACAAGGTGAGGGCCGCGGGGCGTCGGGGGCGGGGGCGGGACCGGCTGCTCGCCCCGCTTACCCGGGTCCCGCCGCCTCCTCGGGTCCCGGTCCGCCGCGCGCGCCGCCCCTCCCCCACGGCCCGCCCACGTGACCGCCCGCCGCGCCGACGGCCGGGCGGGGCGCATGCGCGCGGCTCTGCGCGCCCACGTGGGCGGGGCGCACGCGCGCTCGCGCCCCGCCGGCACTCTGGCCCCGTGCGGAGATTAGTGCGTTCCGTCCTGTTAGTCCCTGCTTCTCTGGCCGCGGCGGTGTTTCCGCTTCCGGCTGTGCCCCGGCCGCCGTCCCCACGCCTCTTTTGTTTCAAAATGGCGGCGACGGCGTGGGTGGACCCTTTCCCCGCGTGCGAGGGTCGGGGACCGGGGAGCGAGGGGTCTGGGGGAGCAGGAGTCCAGGGTCGGGGGAGCGAGGGCAGAAAGGGCCGGGGGAGTGAGGGCTGAGGGGCCTGGGGAGCGAGGGCTCGGGGGAGCAGGAGTCAGGGCCAGAGGAGCAAGGGCCAGAGGACCGGGGGAGCAGGAGTCGAGGACCGGGGGTGCAGGAGTCGAGGGTCGGGGAGCAGAAGTCGAGGACGGGGGGGTGCAGGAGTCGAGGGTCGGGGGTGCAGGAGTCGAGGGTCGGGGAGCAGAAGTCGAGGACGGGGGGGTGCAGGAGTCGAGGGTCGGGGAGCAGGAGTCGAGGGACGAGGGGAGCAGGAGTCGAGGGTCGGGGGAGCAGGAGTCGAGGGTCGGGGAGCACGAGTCGAGGGTCGGGGAGCAGGAGTCGAGGGTCGGGGAGCAGGAGTCGAGGGTCGGGGAGCAGGAGTCGAGGGTCGGGGAGCAGGAGTCGAGGGTCGGGGGAGCAGGAGTCGAGGACGAGGGGAGCAGGAGTTGAGGGTCGGGGAGCAGGAGTCGAGGGTCGGGGAGCAGGAGTTGAGGGTCGGGGAGCAGGAGTCGAGGGCCGGGGAGCAGGAGTCGACCGGGGGAGCAGGGGTCGAGGGTCGGGGGAGCAGGAGTCGAGGGTCGGGGGAGCAGGAGTCGAGGATGAGGGGAGCAGGAGTCGAGGGTCGGGGAGCAGGGGTCGAGGACGAGGGGAGCAGGAGTTGAGGGCCGGGGAGCAGGAGTCGACCGGGGGAGCAGGGGTCGAGGGTCGGGGGAGCAGGAGTCGAGGGTCGGGGGAGCAGGAGTCGAGGGTCGGGGAGCAGGAGTTGAGGGTCGGGGAGCAGGAGTCGAGGGTCGGGGGAGCAGGGGTCGAGGACGAGGGGAGCAGGAGTTGAGGGCCGGGGAGCAGGAGTCGAGGGTCGGGGGAGCAGGAGTCGACCGTCGGGGGAGCAGGAGTCGAGGGTCGGGGAGCAGGGGTCGAGGACGAGGGGAGCAGGGGTCGAGGCCCGGGGTGCCCACTGAGGGCGGGCAGGGGCGATGCCGGTCCCCGTTGTGGGAGCGAGGGGCGAGGCGGGCTGGGCGGCCGGGGCCTTGGGATGGGCAGCAGGTGCGCCCGTGGCAGTGTCACACCGGCCTGGGGGGCCCTAGTCGGGGTGTTCCTGGAGTGCAGGCAGCGGCCTTGTGCGGTCCTTTTTCCACTCGCGGTTCTAGTCTCACGTCGCCGTGTTGTAGACAGGCTTTCTGGGGAGGAGCGGGGCCGTCTGTGGGCATGGAGCTACTCTGGGCGATGCTGACGTGGTGGGCTCCCCGCGCTGGGGCCGGGTGGGCTGTGCTGGTGCTGCCGGGAGCTGCCCGGGGCGGGCGCCGTGCCGGGCTGGACCTGGAAGGAGTCGGCCTGCACTGGCCGGGGGAGCTGCCGTGGGCCATGGCGGTGGCCGGTGCGGGCGGCTGGGCGCTGGCGGCCCCGGGCGGGGAGGGCAGACGCTCTGCCCGCGTGGTGTGGCGCGCCCCGTCCCTAACTTCCCGTGTCCTGGGCTCGGCTGCTCCGGCTGCTGCCTTGTCCCGCGGGGTCTGTGATCTTGGCGCTTCGGTGCCCAAGGAGACAGTGCTGCGGTCTGTGGGCAGACCCCGGCGTGTGGCTGGTGGTAGGGTTCCCCATGGCAGGGTCCCCCGGCCTGCCCGCCCGTGCTGCCTCAGCACCTAGGCACGCCGGGCGCTGTTTCTCCGGAGCTGGAGGCTGCTCCCCGCGGCAGGCTGGGTCTCTGCCTGGTTGTCGGGAGCGTTCGGGCTGCGGAATCAGTGCGATGAGAAGTTTTTCTCATGGTCCGCGGGGAGGGGCCGAGGCGTGCGGGAGCACTGCCCCTGCGCGGGGGCACAGCGGGCTGGGCCGAGGGCCACGTGTACCGGGCAGCGGCGGTGAGGGCTGACGTGAGGGGCTGGGGCAGGTTGGAGGCTGTTCCTGCCCTGCTCTTGCAGGGGTCCTGGGGCTGGTGAGGGCGGGGGCTCGTGGAGGCCCCTCTCCGGCCCGCGTGCCCGCGTGACTCGCCTTGCAGGAAGGGACAGCGTTGAGTGTCCTGCGGCCTGGGGCTATCCAGTCGCGCGTGGCACCTGACCCCGGCCGACTGGGGGCCTGTGGGTGCCAGCTGGCCGCACAGCTCTTTCCTGAGGGGTTCTTGGGTCCTTTCAGGAAAGCGTCATTGGGTCTCTTGATTCCCCAGCCTCTAGCCCTGCCCCTCTCAGGGACGACCCTGGGTCAGGCCCCTCAGCCCTCGAGGGGACCGGGAGCCAGCTCCTCTGTCTTCTCTGGCTCCTCCGCTCCTCCTGAGCGTCCTCAGGTATCTCCCCCGCCGGGGGCACTGCAGGCCCTGTCCCCCCGGCCCAGGGGACCCAGGAGGCCTGTGCTCACCCCTCCTCCTCGGAGTCCCTTCCCTTGGGGGTGGCCTCCCCGGGTCTTGGGGCGTAGCCACCAGCGTGCAGGGTGGGCTGGGCTGCACCCTTTCCTCCGCTCATCCCGTCCCCTCCTGTCCGCTTGCCCAGAGAGGGACAAGGAGAACCGGCACCGGAAGCGCAGCCACAGCCGCTCTCGCAGCCGGGATCGCAAGCGGCGGAGCCGAAGCCGGGACCGCCGTAACCGAGACCAGCGGAGCGCCTCCCGGGACAGGCGGCGGCGAAGGTACCAGGGCCTGGGGACGCTGCGTGCTGGGGCTGCTGGCCGCGGCAGACTTACAGCCTGAGGCCTGTGTGCCCTTGGCCCTGACTCTGAGGGCTCTTGGGGGATTGGTCGTTTTTCAGAAGGCGTGTTCTTGACAGCAGGCGGTGGGCGAGGGTGTGTCTGTCCGGGTCACTCAGCAGGCTGGGCAGTTGGGCTGAGCTCGGAGGCTGGAACTCTAGCTTGAACCCTCCCTTGTGCGTTCAGGGGCCCGAATATTTGAGTGGGCCGTTTTTTGCTGTCTTCCTGCTGCGTCGGCGGGGCCTGGCAGGGCCTGGCAGGGCCTGGCAGGGCCTGGGGGGGAGGTGGAGCTGCCAGCACTGAGTGGACCCACGGCTAGGGACTGTGCTGTGTCGCCGTGGCAGCCGGCCCAGCAAAGCACGGGGCTTAGCTCTGCCTCTAGGGCCAGGGGCCGTGGGGATGGGGCTGTCTGCAGCCAGGCTTCGCGGCGCAGGCCCATCTGCCCTTCCCTCCTCTGCTCCCGCCCCCACCGCCCCAGGGGCTGGGTGGGAGATGCCTTCCTGCCCCCACGCCCCGGTGTCTCCCGAGACGCCCTGCCCGCCCTGTTCCTCTTCTCTTCCCCCTTCCAGGGCTGGGAGCCTTTGGGAGGGAAGTGGCAGGGCTGGGGGCCCTGCTTGCAGCGTGTGCTGCTCGGCCCTCCCCAGTCTTGGGGCTCAGTGACCTGGGGGGGTGTGGCATGTGGGGAAGTCGAGGGTCCCCAGTCACCCCTCCCCATACCTTTCCCTCCCACCCCCAGCAAACCTTTGACCAGAGGCGCTAAAGAGGAGCACGGTGGATTGATGTGAGCGTCTCTTCCTGCCCCTTCTGTCCCGGTGCCCGCCCTGTGTGCCCTGCCCTGCCCGCACCCGGCCCTGGCCCTGCAGCCCTTCCTAGGCCTGGGGGGGAGTGCAGGTTCTGGGGGGCGGCCTAGGCGAGCCTGGGAGGGGCTCCTGGGTGGGATCCCCAGGCCCACTGTGGTCAGACCGAGGTGCACCCCCCGCTCTCCCCCCAGCCGCTCCCCCCGCCGTGAGAAGAAGAAGAAGGCTCGCAAATACTGGGATGTGCCCCCCCCTGGCTTCGAACACATCACCCCCATGCAGTACAAGGCCATGCAAGGTGGGCCTGGCTCGGGGGTGCGTGCAGGATGCACGGGTGGGGGAGAGCCTTGTTAGTCTCAGGCCCGCTGAAGGAGGTGCCCACAAGGCCCCATCAACCTGTGGGCAGGAGGTGGCTGCCTAGAGTTGTTCCTGGGGGCCTCCCGCCGGGGCTGAGTCTGCAGAATGTGGGGAGTGGGCCCTGGGCCAGTGCCAGGCTTGTCCTGATGTGTCATTGTCCTCTGCCTTCTGAAAGCTGCGGGCCAGATCCCAGCCACCGCCCTCCTTCCCACCATGACCCCGGACGGCCTGGCCGTGACACCGACGCCTGTGCCCGTGGTTGGGAGCCAGATGACGAGACAGGCCCGGCGTCTCTACGTGGGCAATATTCCCTTTGGCATCACTGAGGTACTGCCCCCCTCTGCCCTGCCCTCTCCCCTCTCCCAATCCCTCCCACTCCCTCCCCCGAACCTGCACGGGTCAGACTCTGTTCCTGCAAGACCCCCCGGCCCCCTCCCAGACGGACGGATGGAGTTGAGCCAGCCAGGGGCCGGGCTGGGGGTGGCCCCTCCCTCCCTCCTCTTCCCCCTCCCCTGTCCCTTCCACACCCTCCTGCAGCGCCCCAGGGCTCCAGCACTAATGTACCAACATGTCACACCTACGTGTCGGAGAGAGACAGAGAGGGAGACGCGGACACACACACACACACACACACACACACACACACACACACACACACACACACACACACATACACACACACGACGACGCGCCCTGGTGCTTCTGACACCCTCTCCTTCTGTGCCGGCTGTCCCATCCTCCCACATCCCTCCCATGGTCGCTGATCTTGTTTTGATTGCCCTACCTCCTCCCCCACCTTGCCCACCCCTCTCCCCCACCCCTTCCCGGGGCACCCCCTGAGAACCCCCAGATCAAAGAGCTGTTTCCATTTCTCTTTAAAGTGAAATATTGTGGGGCTGAGATCCCTCGTAGCAACAAAGTTTGCTACCATCGTTGAAGGCAAGTAAGGTCCATTCTGACTTCTCAACCTGCACTTTGCTACATTTGATAAACCAGCCCCAGGACCCCAGGGCCAGGTCCCTCCACATCACTCTTTTCTCCTCCCCTCCCGCCCCTCTCCTCCCCTGCTCCCCCACCCCGTCTCCTTGCTCTGCTCTGTCCTGGTCGCCCTTCCTGTTCTCCCACGGTCCCTGCTTCCTGTCTGCGTTGTCCCACTGCCTCTTGTCTCCTGGCCACCTTCTCCGTACTGTCCGTCTCTCCCTGTGTTCTGGAACGGCTGCCTTGTGGCTCCCCCGCCGTGGTCCCACCGGCTCCTCTGCTGCCTCGCTGTCCCTCGCTGTCCCTCGCTGTCCCTCGCTGTCTCTCGCCCCGCCCCTCCCCTGTGCTCACCTCCTTCCTGCCCCTTTGCATCTCTTCCCCCACCCACACTTCACTGTCCCCTCCCCTGCCCCCTCCCTCATCCCTCTCCCCTTGCCCCCAAACCCCTCTGTGTCTCCCTCTCTCACCCTTCCCCTCCTCTCTCCACCCCTCCCCGCCCCCCCTGTCTCCTTTCCCCTCTGCAGGAGGCCATGATGGACTTCTTCAACGCCCAGATGCGCCTCGGCGGGCTGACACAGGCACCTGGGAACCCGGTGTTGGCTGTGCAGATTAACCAGGACAAGAACTTTGCTTTTCTGGAGGTGAGCTGGGGCTGCGCTGGGGACTGCCACCCTCGGGCCACAGCTGTCCCTTAGTTGTCCTGTGGGCTCTTTGGGTTGGGGCCTCACCCTCCACTCTGGCCCCTAGGCCAGCTGTGCCTTGCTGGATGTGTGCCCACCTCCCTCGGCCTCCCTGTCCCGTCTGGGACGGCACCTTGGCCTTGCTCTGCAGCTCATGGTGGGCTTGAAGCCGCAGTCTCTCCTTTTTACTTGAAAGTTTCTGTTTCCTAAGTTTAGCTTGAGAGACAGAGAAGGGAAGACGTGTTTATCATCTGCTGGCTCACTCCCCAAGTGGCCGCTGTGGCCAGAGCTGGGCCGACCCAAAGCCAGGAGCCGGGAGCTTCTGCCAGCTCTGCCATGTGGGTGCAGGGTCCCAAGGCCTGGGGCCGTCCTCTGCTGCTTTCCCAGGCCACAGGCAGGGAGCTGGTGGGAAGTGGAGCTGCCGGGACTGGACTTGTGCTCATGAGGCTTCGTGGTGTTACCCATGGCACTACTCATGGCCCCGGGGTGATCGGACAGCTCTCTCGGCTTCCGGAATCTTATTTAGGAGAGAGCTGGATGGGAAGTGCACCAGCAGGACTCGGACCAGTGCCTACAAGGGATTCCAGGTGGAGGCTTTAACCAGGCCTTGGGTCTGGCCCTGGGGAATTTTTTCCCCCTAAGATTCACTAATTTTTATGTGAAAGGCAGGGTTACAGGAACAAGGGAGATCTTCGTTTGCTGGTTCACTGCCCAGGTGGCTCTGTGGTCATGGCTGCATGAGGTGGAACCTGGGGCCCAGAGCTGCTTCCGGGTCCTCCCGTGACCCAAGCACTTGGATCATCTCCCACGGCCTTTCCAGGCCCGCGAGCAGGGAGCTGGGTGGGAAGTGCAGTGTCTAGGTCTCAAATTGGTGCCCAAGTGGGGTGCTGGCCTTGCAGGGAGAGGCTGGCCCTGGAGCCCCGCAGGCTAGGAAGTGGGGCTGGGTCACTGTGAGGGCTGCATTTGGCCCCTCTTGCGAGCCGCCCCAGCCTGTGGTTTGGTGCATGCTGGTGTCTGCTCTTGTGGGGACATGGGCCGCTGGAGGCCAGCCCCAGAGCTGGGCTTCCCTGACCCACCCCCACCGCCCACTTCTCTGTCCTTTAGTTCCGCTCAGTGGACGAGACCACCCAGGCCATGGCCTTCGACGGCATCATCTTCCAGGGACAGTCACTGAAGATCCGCAGGCCTCATGACTACCAGCCGCTGCCCGGCATGTCGGAGAACCCCTCTGTCTACGTGCCTGGTGAGCGGGGGGTGCCTGTGCTCTGTGGCACAGGTGGCGCCTGCAGCGGGGCCATGGGCACGCTCTTGCTGGAAGCTGCCAAGCTGCTCCAGCTTGCTGGGGCAGGTGAGAGGCCTGTCTGGGCCTCGGGGCCCTCAGGCTGCACCCTGCAGCGTGCGCTCTGCCTGTGGAGCTGCCCTGGGAGTTGAAGCCACCACCCGTGTCCCACCTAACAGCTGATGCGTGCGGGCCTTGTGACACTTCTGACATGCGTTTCTTGTCCTGGGGACGTGAGGATTTGAGGACTGGGCCTTTAGGAGTGCCTGGGCACTTGAGGGAGTGGGGGCTGCCGGAGGCCCCAAAGAGTCTAGATTTGTGCAGCCGCCCACAGGCCCCTGGGGAGTCCAGGCACCCTGCATGCGCAAGTGAGCAAAGGCTGCTTGGTACGCAGCCAGTTCCTCCCTGGGTGTGGTCAGGGCTGCCCTGTGTGAGCCAGGGCGGGCTGTTCACTGAGGGAGTGCCACCTTGAGAGCTGCACAGGAGGCGATGCACGCGTCTGGCCGGCCGCCTCTGACCTGCGTGGTGGCTGACCCCAGGGCCTGCTGCCACTGAGGCAGCTGGCTGCCTGGGACCCGGCTGCTGTCGCTGTGGCCGTGGTGGGGACCAAGTTTGCTGAGGACAGGGCACCTCTGAGAGGGGGGTAGCTCCTGTCCTGGGGTGGGACTGGGAGTAGGGGGCTGCTGCAGGACGCTCCTTACCACTGTGGTGGTCCGCAGCTGGCCCTCTGAGTGGAGCAAAGCAGGCCACCAGTGTCTCCACGGAGACACTGCAGAGCAGAGCGGGCCTGCAGGCAGTGTCTTCCCTAGTAGGAGGCAGGTGTTGGCCTGCGGCCCACAGATCTCGTTTGGAACAGTGGGGTGCCTGCTCCCTGGTGTGGGGTCACAGGGAGACGTGTGTTTTGTGTGAACTGTGCTGCTGGGTGTCCTGGGGTCTGGGGAGCCCCTTAGCCTGTGGTGCTGTTTGGGGAGATGTGTTTGAGTCAAGACTTGGGCCCCTGTGCCTCAGTTTCCTCCTTTTGTGGTGATGGCCTGTGGTGCGTGCCCAGGCTGCAGGGAGCATTGCTGGACCCGTTCCTGGCATGGCTGCTCTTGCTTCCCCCAGGCGTCTGGTGGTGCCAGGGAGATAACTGGGTTTTTCTTCCCCTCCTCCATGCCCTGGCTTACTTCCCCTAGTGTGTGATTCCTTGCCCTGCACCTGCTCCTCCTGGGATGAGGATGGAGTGAGAGATGTGTGGCAAAGGGGGGAGAGATGTGTGGGTCCTTTTTTCCTCCAAAAAGTTTATTTATTTGAAGAGGAGAATGGAGTAGGGGTGTGAAGGAGGGAGGGAGATCTTGCCTTCCCTGGTTCACTGCTTCAGGGGTCCAGGCCCGAACCCCGAACCCCCCGGTTTTCCAACGTGGCAGTTGGTAGCTTGGTGAGGCCAAGGGCAGGCTTGGGGTGCTGTGACACACAGCCTTCCTGGCTCCTGCTGCTGCCTCTGGTTGGGCTCCTAGTCCCTTGGGACCGGGAAGGGGGAAGTTAATGGGGACACTAGGCGAGGTCTCAGGGCTGGACAGGGGTTCTGTGGGTCTCAGCAGTGCGTCCTGGGCCGGCATGTCTGCGGGGTCCCATGGCTGCAGGTGGCTTGCTAGGGTGTGCACCCAGGTCAGGGATGCTGGGGCGGGCCCTGCCCCACGCAGAAGCACAGCCTGCCTGGTCCCAACTGTTGGTGTGTCTGTCAGGTTGGACTGGGAGCAGGAGGGGCCGTCGACCTGTTGGGGGTTGGGGCTGTGGGGGTGTGAGCTGGCGCGGCCTTGAGTCCTTTCCTCTCCCCTTAGGAGTTGTATCCACAGTGGTCCCTGACTCTGCCCACAAGCTGTTCATTGGGGGCTTGCCCAACTACCTGAACGACGACCAGGTGAGCCCCGGCCTCCTGCCTGGCCCTCCCCTCCCCTGCTCCCTCTCCAGCCTCCTGCTGTGCCGCCGCTGCCCTGCCCTGTTCCCGCTGCATCCTCCGCTTGGGCCCTCATGGCCTCTGTGTGCTGTAGGTTAAAGAGCTGCTCACCTCCTTCGGGCCTCTGAAGGCTTTCAACCTGGTCAAGGACAGTGCCACGGGGCTCTCCAAGGGCTACGCCTTCTGTGAGTACGTGGACATCAACGTCACGGACCAGGTGAGCCCCAGGGCCCCGGCCACTTGCTGCGTCTGCCCTTGCCCTCCCTGCGCTATTTCCACGCCGAGGTCTCCTTGGGCTGGGCGGGAGGCGGCTCGCCCCTTCCCTCCGTCTTGGCTTATTCTAGACTCTTGAGCCCTTGCCTTGGCCTCATCCCCCACCAGCGCCTGGCTGGGGGGGAGGTGTCAGGTGGCTGGCCTCTGACCTGCACCCCTTCTTCCCTGGTCCCTCCCACCCCCACAGGCCATCGCTGGGCTGAACGGCATGCAGCTCGGGGATAAGAAGCTGCTGGTGCAGAGGGCGAGTGTGGGAGCTAAGAACGCCACGCTGGTGAGCCCCCTGGCACGTCACTTCTGTTGGCTAGAGGCCCCGGGGGAGGTTTTCCTGAGCTCTGCCCAGCTGGGGGGGCCTGCGCCCCTTGACCCGGGCCCTCTGTCCACAGAGCACCATCAACCAGACGCCGGTGACCCTGCAAGTGCCGGGCCTCATGAGCTCCCAGGTGCAGATGGGCGGCCACCCGACCGAGGTGCTGTGCCTCATGAACATGGTGCTGCCCGAGGAGCTGCTGGACGACGAGGAGTACGAGGAGATCGTGGAGGACGTGCGGGACGAGTGCAGCAAGTACGGGCTGGTCAAGTCCATCGAGATCCCTCGGCCTGTGGACGGCGTCGAGGTGCCCGGCTGCGGGAAGGTGAGCTTGCCCTGCCTCGGCCTGCAGGCTGGGCGCCCGGTGGCAGTGAGCATGGTGGGGGGATGGCAGGCCCAGGCGGGTCTCTGGGTGGGTGAGGGAAAGACCCGCCCTCCCTCCTGTGAGCGCGGTGGGGGCGGGAGGGAGGTGTCCCTCCCCTCCTTGCTGGCTGACCAGCAGCGCAGGGGACAGAGACGTCCCCTGACAGTCCCCGATTGGGGGAGGGACACGTGTTAGTGGATTCAAGGAAGCCCTCATGGTCCCCAGTCGACCTGTGCCCAGTCTCCCAGCCCCTGGCAAGGTGTGCCTCCCTGACTTGCAGTGGCACTGCAGCCACTCCAACCCCTTCTATCTTAGAAACAGAATAGAAGAGGGGACAGCCGGCACCCTGGTGGGCCTGGGCAGGCAGTGTGCCTGCCAGCTGCGGGCTGTACCACGTGTCCGTGTCCAGGCAGTCTGGGCCGGCGCCTGCACACAGGGAAAGGGAGGCGCCACAGGTCCCTGTGAGTGGGTCTCTGAGCCCTTAGGGGAGGCCCTCTAGGCACCGTGCTCGCCCAGCTTCTGGGGCCTGCACACGGTGGCCTGCAGCTGAGGACGCGGGAGCTGCGTTGGGGTTGGTCTGCAGGCAGGCAGTGTCCTAGGGGGTGGCAGGGGCTGTGGCCCATGGCGTGGTGGGTGTCTGTGTGGGGAGGTGGCAGGCTGAGGGGCCTGGCAGCTGCAGCTGGCCCTCCTTGTCGTGGGCGCCCGGCTGTGTGGCTGCGGAGAGGGGCAGGAGGCTGCAGGGGCCAGGCCGGTGTGCACCAGGCTGCACGGCTCCAGTCGCTCATGAGCAGCCACAGGATGGGGAGCCTGGAGGGTCGGGAGGGCATCAGGGATGCTAGGGTCTGTGCGGGCTGACACAGTGAATGTGCAGGGAGCATTTAGCTGAGCCGGCTGGTCTGGGGCATGGATGCACCTGGCTTCCGCCATCCTGACTTGTCGCTCGTTTGTCCCCTGTGCAGCAGGGCTGTACCTGCCTGGGCCCTGCTCCACACTCCCTGGTCACAGTCAGTGTCCTGGAGCACAGACCACACTGTGGGTCAGGCCCTGTGTCCCCCAGCCATTACTACAAAGCCTGAATTGATACCCCCCTAACTGCGTGTCCCCAGATTGCCTAGCGGGTTAGGAGCCGTTTCTGAAGGGTCCTGATCTTGCCCTGCTGCCCCGTGCTTGCTGGGCTTGGGGGTCCTCGCTGCGTCGCTGCGTCCAGTCGTCCTGCCCCTCCCTGGTCACAGCCCTGCCTCCTGTCCCCCCAGATCTTCGTGGAGTTCACCTCGGTATTTGACTGCCAGAAGGCCATGCAGGGGCTGACTGGCCGCAAGTTCGCCAACAGAGTGGTGGTCACCAAGTACTGCGACCCTGACTCGTACCACCGCCGGGACTTCTGGTAGAGGCGGCCCGGGAGGAGCGAGGCCGGGCTGGCTGGGCGCCCCCCACCCCTTCCCTGCGAAGACTGGGCAGCGGAGTGACCGCCGGGACAGCCGGCAGCAACTGGAACGGCGGGGCGGGGCGCAGCCCCATCCCCAGTAGGAACACAGCCTGTTTATATTTTACGGCCAAACTCTTTGGAATTTCGTTGTCCGGCCCTCCCAGCCCGCTCCCCCCACGCGCCCCAGTTTCTTACGTAGTTGACCGACCTCTAGTCTCCCGCCCTTGGCCCCGTGGCCCGTCCCTCCTCTGTGGCAGTTTCATATTTGCTAAGACGAATTTGCTCATTAAACATTTTGTTGTATTTTACTTGACGGAGCTGCTGTGTCCAGTGTCCACGGTTCCCGGGGTTGCGGGTGTCTCGGAGGGCGAGGTGGCAGGGCAGAGCATGGGCGGCCGGTGGGCAGAGCGCACGGGCAGCGGGGCGGGCGGGTGGACGGCGCGGGCAGCGGGGCTGGCGGGTGGACGGCGCGGGCAGCGGGGCTGGCGGGTGGACGGGGCGGGCGGCGGGGCTGGCGGGTGGACGGGGCGGGCGGCGGGGCTGGCGGGTGGACGGGGCGGGCGGCGGGGCTGGCGGGCGGCTGGGATTGGACCTCAGTGGCTTCAGACGGCTGCCTGGCAGCGGGCGGAAGTGGCGTCAGGACGCCGGTTCCTGGGGCCGCGCGCCGGAAATGATGCCTTCAGGAGGGCTTGGCCGAGGCGCCGGGTGCGGCGCGGGGCCACTTCCGCTTCCGGCCCCTGGCCTCTGGTCGCTTCCCGTCCTCGGGGCCGTCGCCCTCCCCCGCCCGGCTCTGCTCGCCGCTCCGGGCGCCGGGGCGGCGGGGCCGTCTGCCGGCGGGCCTCCTCCGTGCATCGGCGCGCGCCCGCGGCCCCGCGACCCGCCATGACCCTGCCGAGCCCGGCGTGAGGAGGCCGAGGTGAGCGCCGGGCCGCGGCTCGTCGGCGTCTGGCGGTGCCGGGTCCGCTCGCGCCCGGGGGCGTCGCGGCCGGTGTCGGCGTTGGCGACGCGGAAGGGGCGGCCCGGGCCGGTGTCGGGTCCCCGGGGCTGGCTGGTCCGCGTGCGCGTCGTGCCGCACGGCCCGCCGGGTGCGTGAGGCGGCGGCTCGGGGTCCGTTCGGGGTGGGTGTGCGTGCTGCGAGCTCCGGGCAGCGCACGGGTGCGGGAGCGACCCCGGTCATCGGTGTCCTCCGTCCCCCGCAGGCTCTCCCTCTCTTACTGACTCAGTGACCGGGTGCCCCGGGCCGTGGTGGTGATAGGAGCCGACACCGGGGCGGTCCCCTCCCGGCTGAGTCAACAGGCTGGCCAGGCGGCAAGCGGACTCGGGGCAGGCTGCCGAGTGGCCATGCCAGGGCCGCAGACCTCCTGTCGTCCCTGTTAGCATCTTACTTCTGTCTTCCTGGTTCAAGGCCACCGACTTTGCTCCCTGGCACCGCCGTGTCCATCTCCCCACCCCCACGTCCCTGGCCGGTGTCCTCCGCTGTCTGTCCCTCGGTTGCTTGGTCAGTCTGCGTTCCTCCTCGGGTGTGTTTCCATGGGGTTGTCACTGAGAGATGAGGTGTGGGAGCCCCCCGGGCGGGCGTGGATCCACCCGGGAGCTGGGGGACCACGCTGGTGAGCCGTGAGGTGCCCGGGCTGGACCGGGCGCGGACTGGGGCTGTCCTCCCGGCCTTGTCTTCCCTGGCTGTGAGCGTGCAGGTTAGCTGGAGCTGTGTGAGGTGGCCCGGTCTCAGCTGCCTTGACCTTGGCAGCGGTATCTGGGCGTCCCGGCCCCCATGCACAGTGTTGGCTGAGATAGTGGTGCTGTTATCTGCCCCACCTCCGACCCTGGGGACGCCTCCGCCCCGGCACCCACCCCCGCTGCGTGCTTATCTCAGCCCTTGGCTCAGCCTTGCTTCTCTCCTTGGCCTGCTCTGTCGCTGCAGTTCCCTTAAACCCTTGCTGGGGAGGTGTCCGTTCTCCCTGCCTCTTCCCACTTTGTTTCCACGTTGTGTGTGGCGTGGGTTTTCTGGCCGGCAGCCACACGTGGTCACTGCCTGCAGGCTGTGGGATCCGGTGATCAGCACGAGACACGCCAGCTTGCCTGGTCAGCTCAGGCTGTGGCCCTGGTGGCCTTTGTGCAGTCCAGGGTGGGGCTGGAGCCCCTGGGGTAGCCGGAGGGAGGAAGAGGAGGAGTGAAGCAAGGGTGGGACAGAGAGTCTCGGCTCCCAGGGCTGCGCCTGGAGCCCCAGGCTGGAGAAAACCGGGCTACGGGGTTGGGAAGTTGGGGAACTGGGTGTGGCTGGGCCCGCAGAGCTGGGGGCCGGGCTGGAGCTGGTGGGGCTGCTGAGCGCAGAGCCCCCCGTCCTGCCCAGGTGTGTGCCCCTCTGTTGGGAGCTCCGGTCCTAGGCACCGCTGTCTGTCTGTTTCCAGAGGCCCTTATCCTTCAGATGTGGTGAGCCACCAGCTCCCGGCAGCCGCTCGGTGTCTCGGCAGCCCGGGGCGGGTGCCCCTCGCCGCGGCCACCATGTCGACCTCGTCGCTGCGGCGCCAGATGAAGAACATCGTGCACAACTACTCGGAGGCGGAGATCAAGGTGCGCGAGGCCACGAGCAACGACCCCTGGGGCCCGTCCAGCTCGCTCATGTCCGAGATCGCCGACCTTACCTACAACGTGGTGGCCTTCTCTGAGATCATGAGTATGATCTGGAAGCGGCTCAACGACCACGGCAAGAACTGGCGGCACGTGTACAAGGTCGGTGCGATGCCGGGCTGCTGCGTGCCACGCCGGGCCGCGCGCTGTTTCAGTTAGAGCTCCACCCCCTGGGTGAAACTTAACTTCCTGGACTCCATGCGACAGACAGCGTTTCGTGCAGTTTTGAGCTTTGTGATTATACTTGGAAGTGTTTGTATTCTGGAAGGCAGATAGATGAGGGGCCAAAGGGCGGGTTCTTCCATCCACTGCTTCTCTCCTTGCTATAACAGCCAGGCTGAACCGGGAGCACCAAACTCCATCTGGCTGTCCCCCTGGGTGGCAGGGCCCGAGCCCCTGTGCTGTCATCTGGCTGTCCTACTGGGTGGCAGGGCCCGAGCCCCTGTGCTGTCATCTGGCTGTCCTACTGGGTGGCAGGGCCCGGGCCCCTGTGCTGTCATCTGATGCCTGCCCAGGTGCATGTGCAGGAAGCTGGATCGGAAGCCAAGTAGCCAGGTCTCACGTGGGCACTGTCATATGGACTGTGGGCATCCCGAGTAGTGGTATAACCCATAGAGCCACAATGGGCACCCCTAAATCTACCCTTGTGAAATTAGGGCTTTCCCCTCTGAGGGCCGTTCTGTGTGTGCGTCCCTACGTGCTAGGCTCTGACATTGTTAGAGTGGGAAATATACTGTGGGAGGCAGACCCCATGCCTGCTGTCTGCCTGCAGGGTCTCAGCCGGGGAGGCTGGGTTGATGGGGGATGGCAGGCCTGCTCTGTGCTGGTGAGGCTGGGCTGGCAGGGGGCGGCAGGCCTGTTCTGTGCCAGGGAGGTCAGGGAGCTGGGCTTGCATGGTGGCTGGCCTGCTCTGTGCCGGGGAGCTGGGCTGGCAGGGGTGGCTGGGGGCGGCAGGCCTGCTCTGCTGGGGAGCTGGGCTGGCAGGGGGCAGCAGGGGCTGGCAGGGGGTGGCAGGGGCCAGCTGGCCTACCCTTGGTCCCACCTGGGTGTTCTGCTGTGGTTGTGAGTTCCCGCTGCGTGCTGAGCAGACGCCAGTTCTTGGTCATTCAGGGGCAAGCACTGGTGGCATTTGTGCCACTAACTGCGGGGAACCTGGATGCTGGGGAGCTTGTGGGGGGGATAGGGAGAGGCAGAGGGCGGTGGGTGCTGGGGCCCTGGCCTCGGTGGGCCTCCTGACTCGTGGGCCTGAGTTCTCTGCTGTGGCAGCGGGCGGTGGGCGCCTTGGGGCTGGGGAGACTGACAGGTGCCAGTCCAGAGCCGGTTGTACCTCCAGTGCCAGAGAGGACCCAGGCTGCTTCTGGGGGGGGGGAGTGGGAGCCTGCACGGTGGGCGGGTGGGCAGCAGTACCTCACGTCCCTGTCCCCCAGCTTCCTGGGATCCAGCCCCTCACTGCCTGCCACTGGGTGCTGGGCCCTGGCGTGGGCAGGTCGTGGCCAGCTCCCCAGAAGCTCACGGCTGGGTGAGACTGGTCCCTGAGGCTTCCAGCCGAGATGGACTTGGATCCACACAGCCCACCAAATCAGGGTTCCTATCTTCCTCTCCATCCTGCTCTCTGTCACCTCCCTGGCCGCACCCCCGTGCTGAACATCTGGTGCTGGGAGTGACCGTGCAGGACCGCGTGGGACTCTGTGCTCGTTGGTGTAGGCCCAGCCCCCCTTGTCTGAGGCTGCCCTTGGGGCTCAGCAGATGTCGCAGTGGAGAGTAAGGTGCAGGCAGAGTGGGGCTGTGGATGGGTGCCCAGGCTTGGGGCTGGCAGCTCCTTCCTCAGGTGTGGGTGAGCCTGTGTGCCCACTGGAGCCAGCAGAGAGGCCTCTGCCCTGGCCACCGCAGCCTCGGGTGGGTTGGGCTGGCTGGGCTGGAGTGTCTGCTCCGGGCTGAGTGGGGAAGGCGCTGCCCAGTGTAGGGCATGACTTATGCAGGGCCTAGGGGAGCTGAGCCTGTGCCCGGATCCCTGATGCCCTGCTGTGCTCAGCCCTTCCTGGCTTGGGGCCCTGGAGACAGGTCCCGGTGGGTCCTGGTGTGGGGCACCAGGTTGGGTGGCCTGCGTGGCTCTGAGCTCTCCCTGAGTCCTCTCTGTTGCCCTTCCTTGCCTGCTGCCCAGCTGAGGAAGTGGAGGCACAGAGCAGGGCAGCTGTACCGTGTGGAGTGTGGCAGGGCCTGTCTGTCATACTCGTCCAGGCTCTGGGCAGTGCATCGAACTGGGGGTCGGGCATGGGTGTGGGTGGAGCCGTGCTTGGGGCAGAGCAGGGCGGCCGTGTCCGCTGTGAGTAGCAGGGTTCCAGTGCTGGCTGCCACGGCTTTGGTCTGCATCCCCCTGCAGGCCGCAGGTGACAGCTTGAGCTGGCCCTGCCACGCACAGGGGAGAGCATTGGAGCTCAGGCTTCCTGGCCTTGGGCCACTGAGTGCCCCGGAGGAGGAAATTGGAGGTTAGGAGAGCTCTCTCTGTTTCACTGTCTGCTGTTTAAACGAACAGATGGTAGTAAGTGCAGCTGCTGTCCCTGCAGTGAGGGCTCCCCACATGGGCACTCTGCTTCCCTTCCAGCTCCATGCTGACGGCCTGGGAAAGCAGCTGAGGACTCAGGCCAGCCCTTGGGCCCCTGCTGCTCACGCAGGAGACCCA